TTGTAGCACTTTGCAAGTTTATTCACATCCCTTCAGCTTGTTTTATCTGATTGTGACAGAAAGTGGGAGAAAAAAGATATGATGTTCATATTTTTTACAAATAGAAATCTGAAAAGTGTGATATTAATACAATGGACATCCGTCTATTTGAGTTTCAGGATTTGAAAATGTAACTCTTCGCCTATTTTCTTGTAGATCCTTTCTCCAGCCCACTCCTCAAGGTTTGATAAGGTTTGGACATGTTAAAGCATCTGAAATACTTTTGCATGTTTCTGCAGTTCAAAGTTTTTATATGAAAAGGTTTTGATCAAGCAGAAGGCGAATGGCTCTCTAAAAGTATCACCAGGCGTGACAAGCTGCGATAGGAGAGGATATAAATAATAACGATAGAAATGTGTTATAGGAAGAAGGTAGAGGGAGGAGGCAGTCAGAGGGGAGATGATGGTTGGAAGGAAAGAAATCAATCATCTTTAGCCTCTCATTATGGACCGGCTCTGAGAACAAGACCAGAGATGCGTTTCTGACAGTGATGCCTTTTCACTGTCAGCATGCAAGTCACCTGGATCTGAACTGTTTTTCTCGTGTGAATTAGAATCAAATATAGCTGGAAAGAAGGAAAGTAGTAATAATTTATGGCAACGATCGGGACGACCGAAACGCACGAGTCAGATACAGTTTGGTGATAAAGTTAGAGTTCATTTTATGAGGATAAATACTTATTTCACAGGCAGGCAAATTAACATTTTAACGTCACAATTTAAGTTTGAACCAAAATTGAAGTTTGTGAAAAGCTCATCCCTCAGTTGAAAGCCTTTTAAATTTAGTTTTCTTATTTCACTTAATGTGAAAAATATCTTTCGACCCCTGACCTTGTGTTCCTTGCTCCTCATTTGGCCGATTAAAGCACAAAGTAGAGCTCCAAAGTGCAGGCTGACAGAAAACATGAGTCAGCGTTTGCAAAAACAATTATCTGGCATGCGAGTCGCATCTCCGTCGGTATCTGGCCTACTCAAAGTACTTTGGGTTGGCCGTAATAAAACAATGCATCATCTCTCATCTTCTGGAACATTAATCAACTTTATTGTATAAAGTTTCGGGATAGAAAAAAATTAACAGAAAAGAAATGTGGCGAAATGCAAAAGTGGCAAAGACCTCAATAAAAACCACGCACTAAATGTTCCACGCATTTTCTAACGATTTAAAGTCAAAGTTTTAATTAACTGAACCATATAGTAATCTAGTTTTACACAATATTGTTTCATTCAGGTTAAAGAATAAGCAGGGTGATATTTATCCAGTGCAACAGATAATTTATCCAATTTATTGTTCTGCTGCTCATCTTACAAAGAGACCATCTGGGGAAAAGAAGAACAGAGTGGAGGCTGTTGAGGAATATCCCTCATTAGTGAGATTATTATTTTCCTCTCTTTGTATCTGAAAAACGAGAAAATGACTCAACTCATGCAACCATAATAAGACAAACAGCAAAAAGTATTTATTATGTTGGCTCTACTTTAATTTGTTAGTGGGAGCGCACATTTCTTGGGTCCAAATTACATGTCCAAATGCAAACAGTCAGTGTTGACTTATTATGACTGACAATGAATAAAATATGGCCTTTGTCATATTTTATTCATTGTCATTTTATTCATTGTTAGGGAATGTTTAGAAGTAAGAAATATACAGAAAATCTGGATTTTGTTAAAAAGTTTGTGCCTTTCAGTAATTCATTTCAAAATGCATGATAAAATTTAGTGTAATCTTTATTTAGTATCAGCTCTTCCTTTGATCAACTGCAAGGAGAACCTGTAGAGTCCACAGGTGAATTTGTATAGAAGAAAAACAGGAAATAGGAAAATGAAAGAGATATTTTCCCCTTTGCTCAGTTAGTCTGTTAACATTTAACAGTTTTTGTGTCTAAATTAGCCCAGATAATAACGTGTTGATTTGGTAGCAGTGTAATTACTTTCACTGGTGTGCACCATCGTTGTCTCGCTGCACACTTCCATCTTTAACGCGATAACTCCTCAGTTTAACCTCCTTTATTTGGTTTCCCAGTGAGGCCGTTGCTCTCCCCCAGCTGCGTGGTTTGTGTGGCGCGTCGGCTCACGCAGCAACAAAAGAGGAAGATAAGCAGAAGGTTTTAAAAGTGTCATTCAAAGTGTAAATTCTCAGCATGCCCCCTCTCTGGGGGTCTCTTTTGATGTCCCTTTTTATATTTCACTCATGCAGTGTTGGCATTTGCATCTCAAGGCGAGAACAAGGATCAATCATGGCGGGGAGGAAACGGTTGGAGTGAAAGAATAAGGAGAGGTTTTAAAAATGCCTCAATGATTGGCTGCTTGTGCTGTCAGCAGCAGTATTTCACGCCAGTTGCTGGAATCAAATAAAACAAACCAGTTGTCGCTGTGATGGCAAGCTGGTGTGTTTTGTATCTGTAAGATTAGACTCTATAATCAGTGTAATCAATTGCAATGATCATCAGTGAAAATGGCAGCTACAACAGCACACCTACTCTAAAGCTGGCTGGTTTCAGCAGCTGGAGCGCCTGCAGACACATGCTATCATTACTCCAATATGATGCCTGTTGCTCAGCTGCCTGTCAGGCTGAATTCCCCTGAACAAGCTGTGTGTGTGTGTGTGAAGCCTTGGCCCACTTATCTCATCCATCAGAAGATTTCAGTACTCCGCCTGTCAGTCAGCAATCGCTCACTGTCGCTCCGACCGGGCTTGCCGATCATCTATCGTGTTTGGAGAAACGTGAGCGTGAGAGTGCACGAGCATCAGTCAGCCACTTCCTGACACGTACTGCCGTTGATGTCTCAGTTGGTGTCAGCAAATCCACTTTTCATCCTAAATGTGTCTGCGGTGGGCGATGAGAGCCGTTACAGGGCCATCTTTAAGCGGAAGACCTCCGCTGGTGACATCATCGCTTCGGTTCACAGCTCTAAATCTCTCCAAACAGAGAACACCCTAAAGGGACAGATAATAAAATCTGGCAACTGTGTAATAATACGATTCCCAAATGATCTACAGAGAATGTCAAACTCCAGCCATGTTTAAGCTTAATGGAAGACCATCCAGTCATCTTTCAGTAAAATACTGCCCAGTTTCACTTATTCTGGTCTTGATTTTGTCTGTTGTTTGAAACCATTCCTGGGCTCACAACTTCTGCTGTAGTTAACTGGGATAAAGACAGAATGGTTACTGTAAAGTGGGTGAACAAACAAAAAGTGATATTCCATGTCCATGGAGACAGATTGCAATCTGGTTTCGGTAAAAACCAGTCATTGTGACTGAGCATCTTGGCAAATAGTCTTCAGTTTATTCAAAACACAGCAGAGAAGTTAAACTAATATTGAAAGTCGATTTAAATATGTTCTTATAAAGTATACCAGAGTTTTTCCTGGGCAGTCAGGTACCCGGTATGGGCTTGGAAAGGAGGGGAAAAATGTCCAGAAACCCTCCACAAGTTGACTCAAACGTGTGGCTTAAATACTTCTGCATTCTCGAAACATTTGCGCACGCGATTGAGAAATGGAAAACATGTGTCTTGTGTCAAGTTTATCCTCCGATGTGAATTTCCCCCAGCTACTTTTAAGATTCCAGTTAGAAAAAAGCCTTGAATATTTTAAATCCAACTTTATTCTCATTGGGTTCCATAAATTTAGGGATCCTGTTGGGCCCACATGCATCACCAAAAGGGAGCATTAAAGACAGCTGTCAACGTATTATCCATCTGAACGATGGAATAAGTCAGTGTGGTTTTGTCATATTCTGTATCTGTACTGTAGCCACCTTTTTCCAGTGAGGGAATGCTTGACTCTTGAGAGGAATGGAGACAGCCTCTGATAGGAATTTTAATTACATCACCTCAGAACATGAGGTTGCACTTAATTGGTTAAAATTTCCAACTTTGCCCAAGATGTCAGTAAACCATACACACTGGACCTTTAAAAATCTCCAGAGAGGTGCAGGGTTAAATCTCTAGATTTTATGTATGACATATGAAACATAAAAGCTATAGACTTAAGTTTTGGAGCAGTCAAAACAAAAGATAAAACACTAAAAGCTGTCGTAACAGGTGTGTGTAAGGAGCTATTTTCCTTGAGTAGCTGCGTAGCAACACAATCCCCTCTGAGCTCGGCCAAGTTTGGACGCGTGGAGAAGGAGGAGAAGCCAACATCTTAAATGAGGTTGATCAAAGCAGACATACTAATATTTGTTTCCCACCAATTCCATTTAAAGTGACAGAGCTGGTGTGTAAACAGCTGGTTTGTGTGCGTCCCAAGGGGATAGGTATTAAAAAGGAAAATCCAAAATGCACACAAAACAGCCATCATCTTAATGAGGGCTTACAGGAGTATTAGAGGCTGGTGCACTATTTGCAAATAGCTCATCAGGAATCAAACACATGAGCCAGAAAGCTCGGCCTTCACTCAGTTTCAGATTTCACAATGCTTCAGATTTCTCCAACACTTAAAGTACCTTATTTATATTCCATCACCTTATGTCACATTAGGATTTTCTCTGATCTCTTGTCAAGGGGGCATGTGACCGTCCTTCAAAGTTAGCGCGTAAACAGTAATTCAAGTGGAGCAGCCTATGATAAAATGCATTTTCAATTCCATGTTGTTGCATCTAATATAAATAAAAGCTTTATGTGACAATTTCAGACACATTTTGGTCATCTAGTGTTGGAACATTTTGTTTTTAATTGCCTAAAACAAAGTAATTTAATACAACAATGTATCAATGATAACCTGTTCTATTATTTAATTCTTCTTTTGTGGTTTGCAGCTTAAAACTCATCTGCTGAAAATATCCTGAAGGAGCAGGACGACCCAAAGGACACACTGCAGAAACACAAGGTTTGTCCACAATAATGAATCACAGCTCTTTCAAGCAGGCAGAAATTATCAGAGGATTATTTCCAGCAGCAAAGAATCTACGATTGAAAAGGGTTACGGTTAGGGAACGGACATATTAGCTCAGAGAAATGTTTTTAAAATTATTTATTGGTATATATGAGAACAAAACAACCATGAACAAAATATGACAACAGTTTTTTAATGTGATTGGTTATACACAGACCACTACACAAATCAGCACAGTTTGGCATGCTGCAGCAATCCAAGTTGCCATTTGGAGATTTCGCAACTTTCTCTATTGTATTGTATTGATGCATTCAGAATATTAACTCGGCTGACTTCAAGCTTTCCTGTGCCATTTCCAAATTTCAACACAATGTAAAAAGGTTTTAGAGGGTTGACTTATTTTGGTTTTAAAAGTACCTGCATGCCTGTGCACAGCGTTTGCCTTTTTAGTATTCCTCAAAACTATGCTGACCACCAAATTCAGTCCTCCCAGCCTTCCAGCATCAGCTAGGGAGGAAAAACTCCTCCACAAATATCCTCCAAAAAGGATTTATGTCCTCCAGCATTAATTACTAAAATACCAAAACACACATGCACACATGATATGTCTACTGAATCATATTGTTAAACCTAAATAAGAAATGTTTGCAGTCACTTACAGTCGCATTTGTTCATGTTTCACCTTTAAATCACATATCATAAATTTTGGCTCAGTGGGATTTGCATAATCTTTCTGACTAGCAGAAAAATAAACAACTGCTGACCTCAAGACTTACTGTATTAGAGGAAAAATGATGTACTTGTTAGGATTCTTCCAATATGCTATGATTGACGTCATGATACAGAAGTTAACCGTTACAGTAATTTTTACATGTTGACCTGCATCAAGATGTGAAACTCACTACAATGTTTAGCTTATTTACATACATAATGACCTGCTTGCTTTCAACTGAAAATAAAATAAAGGTATAAATAACACATTTTGGCTGAAGGATTTTAACACAACACTAAATCGTTTGTTGTACTTTAGGGATTTTTATAAAAACATATTCACAGCATTAATTTAGCTAATATGCGACCATGTTAAACATGCTCATACTGCTCAGTCACAGTAGCTTTGTGTTTGTCTGATTGTGTTTTTGATTAACATTATGAAACAAAACTTCAAGTTTGAAGTGATTTTCTTATTTTGACTAACATACGCTTTGATATTATTAAATAAACAAAAGATTCAAAAAATGTTTAAAAGGTACAAGGAAACTCAACAGTAAAGATACCTTTAAAAGCACTTGGTCTGTAATCTTGCATTTACTACAAGTTCATCAACTAACTAACTAGTTGATAGGATAGTACAAAAATTGTGAAATAACTTCCTGTAATGCAAAGCATTCTTCTGAGCAAAATCTGATCAAAAACAAACCAAAATGTGAACCATATTGGGAAAACAAAGACTCATTCAGCATAGCTAACGAAAAAGTGAAACAAATTTGATTTGCTTAGTCAAACCATTTGTTTTTAATGGTTTTGATGTCACTATCACATAAAAACACAACTTTTACTGGAACAGTAAGTAATTTGTTATGCATAGCTTTGATAAGCTGTATTCCACCTTCATTAAATAATCTTGTTTTATCCACTTACATAATTATTACTTATGTACAAAATCTTGCTGAAGATCATAGCATATTAGCACTTAGCTCACAAGCTAATTTAACTAAATTAAAAAATGCTTTTCACAAGGAAAACAAATGATTTAATATTGTGTTGATATCCCTCAGTGAAATTCTATTACTAAATATTAAAATAATAAAGGAGACTTCTTCTGGTGTTTTGATTGAACTCTGTAAAAAAGTCAGCACTGTTCATTTCAGCATACATAGCCAATCATCTCAATAAAACTGTAATTTTGACCCAAAATTTAAGTTACAGTGTTGTGAACAGGTCACTCAATAGTGCCTCACCAATAGTCCTCTTAATATAGTTATATTTCTTTTTAAATATTGCTGTTATTACACAAAGTGGCTTATAAACAATCAGTGAAATGTCAATAATCTTTAAGGCCTGTCGTTATTTTCCTCAAATGGTTTTAAGACGTTAGTCTAGGAACATTTCCTCCCGGGTTCTTTAAGGTATGACATAAATCACCTGGAATATGAGTTTTCTCACAGTTTTATAGCTATCTCGATCTAAACTCAAGTTAAAATAAATGTCATATACAAAAATCTTTCAATTAGTTTTTTTTTTTTTTTTTTTACAACATATAGGGTTCAGGTAGCGCTGTAAACTTGAACAGGTGTGCAAAAGAAGAAAAAAAAAAACATGATTAACCTTTAGTTGAGACAGTTTCAGTCCAAAGCGCCTGTTGTGGAGTTTAATCAGGGTATAAGATGAAGCCAGAGAAGGTGCTGTACTTGTTGTTGTTGCCTCCATGTGCTTTTCCGCCATCCAGTTTAACATACACCTCATCTCCAGAGTCCAAATGTAGCACAGCACTGTTACTGGCGTAGTCATAGTTCTGGTCTGCATCTTGGGCTATGGCGCTGGCCCGGACCTGGTTTAACAAGATAAACAGAAACTCAGAAACATTTGCAAGAAACGTATAGGATATAACGACTGAGTGGAAAAGTTCACATGTACCTGAGAGGCAAAGTAAAACAGCGGTGATGCGGAAAATTGTTAGATTCTAATTTTAAACCTCCAAATGTTGATTCAAGAGGAAATAAGTCAGCATTGAAGCTGCAGGATGTAATGAAATTTGACTGGGCTGCTTAGAAAAAAATTAATTGAACCTATCATAATATCTGCAATTAAAACAATTTAATAAAATACAGAGCTGTAAGTCATGGATTCAAAAGTTAAACTTCAAATTTGTCATACATAATAATTATTCAATTATGGTTCAGGTTCACTGATTTAAACCAGAACCAAACAGATGATAGTTTATTTAACAAGCAAAAGTTATCATAATTTTATAAACAATATTTACAGAAAACTGGAAAAATCAGTGAATCACCTACCATGGAAAATCAGTGGAAAAATTTAATTAGCAAATTATAACACATAAAAAAATAATACATATAAATTGATTCAGTTGTTTGTGTATTTTTTCAGCATTTTTAAACTTGTATTTCCTTATAAATTATCTTTTTTTTTTTTTTTTTTAGGATGTTTTAAATTGCCTCTATATACTTCATCAAGTTGACTCTAACCTTTGATTGGTTAACTTCTTATCTATGGTAATATTATATTACTTGATTATCAGAACAAGTATGAAACTTCTGTCATAACCTATTAGATAATATAATCATAAAATATCTCTTAGTGAGGCATCCAGCCATCCGGGGTGGAGTTACCCATAGCCACCATATTGGATTTCTAAACATCTTACATGACAAATTAGTGATTTTCAGAGATGATTGGATAATCATGTATTCAAAAATGTTATTAAATAGGCTAGATGTTTATTTTAAAAAATGTTATTTAAATGATCAGGTATAAATCGTTTTGTATGGATTTGTATTGTGGCACTTTTGCCCTCGAAATGCGTCAATCTGCAGCTGAAAATGACAGGAGGAAAGAAAGACCTCATCCAGAGGATCGCTGCATTAACATGTAACATGAAGATTGAATTCATTTATTCATTTAAAGTGAGGCTTTAAAGGGAAACGGGAGGTCTGCACCATGCGGTGCGTAAAATGTAACCCAGCTTTTTAAATTTGAATAAACTTTTCGAGAAGAGAACCGGAATGAAATAAGGCTGTTTGATCAACTAAATAAGCTGCGTTTTGAAGCCTTATCCTAAAACGGTGTCCATTGATCAGAGCCACGCAGAGCCATGGATGCGCTCTGAGTTGGAGTCTACCTGTCCGTTCTTGCACAGGTCGGCCCACATGCTGGTGCCATCCCCTCCGCGCATCAGCACATGGTAGGTGAAGAAGTAGATCCCGGACACATGACAGGTGAACTTTCCGGTGCTCTGGTCGTAGTGGTTTCCCAAGTTTGTGATCACGTCGTCAAATTTCAGCACCTCATATCCCTCATGCGGGTTCTTCAGACCCACGTAAAACGCGATCCTGTAACCGCTCACCGTGGAGTTCGCTCCGTCCCCCTCGCCCGTGTCACCGGCCCCGGCTGCTCCGGCTAAAGCGGTGAAAGCCAGTTTATTGTCCCCACGCTCTCCCGGTGGCCCCCTCGGTCCGGGGGGTCCAGGCTCTCCCGGTGGTCCCCTGGGTCCGGGCTTCCCAGGTCGCCCAGGCTCGCCGCGCGTCCCTTGCGCCATGGGCGGCAGCGGAGCGACTCCGTTCACGTTCTGGCTCACCTCCATGGCGGTGGCTCCCCCCGGTTTGGGGCTGTATGGGTCACAAACCATCCGGCAGGTGCCCATCATCTCGTAGTAGTGAGCGGAGGTCTCCGGGGAGCGGAGGAGCAACAGCGGGACAGCGATGGTCAGAGCCAGCAGGACCATGGCGACAGCGGTCACCGCGAAGACCACGGACCACTTCCTCCGGGCCGTGCGTGGACCAATGGACGCCAGAAAACCCGTCGAGCCGCGCTGGAGGGCAATTGTGACTGTTATCAGTGGGGGGTAAAAAGACAGAGAAACAAAAGAAGTGAAGTTGGGGAAGTTCGCATAAGTGTCTCCGCCGCTCCAGTCCGCGTCTTCAATGCCCTGGGCAGCTGTGACTGAGCGCGAGACGCGCGTCTTGGCTGGATGGAGGGGTGGCGCGCAGACAGCTGCGCACAGCTGCGTCCAGCTGTTTGCAAGAAGAAGACCGGAAGGCAGCACTTCAAATTAAAACAGCAGCGTGTACGCATGGATGGAGAGTCTGGATATGATTTGGAAAATAGACCCGAACTGAAAAGGAAAAGGAAATCTTGAGTTCAGCAATTCAAAGCTCTGCAAGTCCAATAATGGATATCAGTATCAATTCTAACAAGGAAGTATATTGTAAAGGGACATGTTTCCTTAGCAACTTTTTCTTTTGAAAAAAGAAAAACTATACAAATAAAATGTTTTACAAATCATCTTAAAAGTGTAGCTTTCATTTGTTTTCAATCTCCATTTGAGTCAGTACTTGTAGAACCAATTCACTTTGCAGAATGTCTCTTCCAGTTTTGCAAAGAAACTTTCACTCAGTTTTTGTTGTCACAGATTTTCAACTAATTATTGATGTCAACTTTGACTGGGTCACTCCAACACAGGAACATGAGCAGCCATTTTCATTTGCTGACTTAGCAATGAAATGCATGAATGTGAGTTATTTCTTTGTCAGAACAGCATATGTGAAGAGATGCATGAAACCATATTGCTGATTTGAAAATAATATATTAATAATCTTTCTTGGAATAAGCTTAAGCAACTCGTAACGGTTCAAAATGTAACAGGAAATCGTTTTAATTTTGATCCTCTTAACAAAAGGAAGTTTAATTCTGAATAGTGTCCTGAATGGAAACCTTTTTCCACATTTTTATGACTTGTACTTATTTATGACTGCATGTCGAAGACGTTAAAGGGAGTTTTAATGGGTTCAAATCATCCTTTGAAACAAATTAAACTGATTAAAGTTGTTTGAACTGTGTGTTCACTCCGACATGCCACTCAGGTGTATCTAAATAAACGAGTGTGATTAGTTACTTTCCTTTTAAACATGAATGAATCCAGGTCAAAGTCAGATTTAATAAAGAGCTTAAACTTGCAGCAGCTAAATACATGACCAAATATTTGACTCAGACCAAGAGGGACACTTTCAAAGTCACTTCATATGGCTGAGGGCAGGTTCACAGTGGTGTCATCAGCTGACTGACTGCATTGGTCACTTCACACACACACACACACTCATGGAGGGAGAGACGGACAGGGGGAGGAGGGGGCAGTTTATGCATGCTGGATGCAGACCAGGGATGTCTGCTGGCGGTTGACACTCTCAGCTCTCTGTGACTGCAGGGACATATTTGATGTCTTGTTTCATGCGGCTGAGGGCCACAGGCCTAGAATTTAGATTGGCGATCAAATTAAAATTCATTCCATGCAAATCAGCACCCCAGAGCATGCAGATGTGTCTGACATGCCTTTTTAGCCTTTGTTTTTGGTTTTCCTCCAAGATTGCTGAACTCTTGCTAATTGTGTGGATTTTAACTGCACCTGCTGATTAATATTGTGTTTACGCCATTAACTGGGCATAAAAGCTTTAGGGATGCCTAATAAAAGCTGGTAATTGTTAAAAACATTCCTTGAAGGACCTTAAATACTTCAAACGTGCGGGGCCAACAGAGCTAAGCACCTGGAATTGGAGTGCAGGCCCCACATCCACAACAGAGGCTTTACAGCTCAAGGCAACGTGAAGAAATCTTCAGAGGTTAAAGACGAGGCTTAGCCGAACCCCCCCACCCGTTGCGATCTCGCCGTCCCCTCCACCCCCAACCAATTCCAGCTCACGCTCAGCTCAGCTGTAACTCTCCAGAGCATGGAGTCAGCCGCTGCTGGCATCTGAGAGCGAGAAAAAGCACAACGAGCAGCGAGAGCTGGCCGAGAAATTCAAACCAAAGTTGGAAAATCTGAGGAAAACGCCACGACGGCCAGAATGAAAACTTCCCATCTTGTTTTGCATTTCTCATTCCCCTTCAAAGCTTCGGTAATACATAAAACATACAAAAACAAACCCACTAAAAGTATGCAGAAAGGCAAACAGAGCACATCCTCTTTCCTAATGCGCAGCATGACCTTTAGGAAGGATTAGTACAGTGAACTGTGTCTTCAGGCAGTGGTGAGTCAAACACAACACACTGTTTGCATTATGCACTCCAACCTCTTAGATTATCCCAGCCTGCAGCTTCATCATGTTTGTAATCACACTGCACTGCTGCATGATGCACACAAACCTTACGGTGAGGCCAAAGAAGAAAACCGTCATCCTTAGACATGACTTTGGATAATTTTTCATTCAGCAGAGTAACTGGTAGCAGGTGTAAAATGGTATGCATGATGGTTTAACAACATTGCAAATCACTCAACATCATTTTTTGGAGATTATTTTCTCCGTTCAGTTGTAGTTGCACGTTAATTTGTGTTGGTTGACTAAGGGGTTTAAATACATTTGCAAGGCACTACAAATATCTTTCACCACTCTTATCAGTCAAAGATACCCAGCTACTTTATAAAGATTTAATTGCTTTCCAGACTGAATTATGAAGGAATCGTTGGTCAGTCATTGTCATTCTGTTTGTTTTGCATCAGTGAAACTCGTTCTACTTATTGTGAATCAAACGTCACAGCTTATATGTGTAAATGAGCCATCTGTGAACCACAACAAGACAGCTATGAGAACTTGCAGCATCAGCTTCTGTCTTAGTGCGTGACCCTGATCCCACATGAAGCCCACTGAAGGCACCTCTGTCCTCCATTGCATGTTTAAAACAAAACGCTCCTTGATGATAGTGAACACCTGTCAAAGGTCCACCTCAGGCCAAATGTTCATGACCTTTTATTTCCTCACATGGCACAAGATTGACCAATTCTACCCTGTCTTCTGATTAATTTAGCAATTTATCAGAAGACACAATTTAATGATATAGAAATGAAAACTTGAAAATTAAATATGAATGTAGCAAGCTGCAACCCTGAGCGAAATAAACAAACATGAAGCCACCAGAGAGCCATGAGAGAGCATAAGGGGGAAAAAAAGGTTCGTGTGTGAGAACGTACATATTTGTGTGCGGCGACACTGATGTAGCACAGCCTGCCTCAGGGATTCAACCTTTTGCAAGTGGCAAAGGCAGACATGATGAAGTCATGGTGACAGTGTGTAACCTGCGGTCAGACATCTTTTTAACACGCGTTTGGTTTTTTTCTACCGATCCCAAGGCCAGTTTATCAAATACACCAGCTTTGCAAGCAGGAGGGGAACAGGAGGACTTCAATATTAAAACCATTTTCAGAGCGAGGGTATATGAGATTAGCCTCAAACCTCTAAGTATTGTTATACAAAAGCAGCTGAAGGCGACTGTCATCATGTGCTCACAATGCTAACACCTGCTAATATTTAACAGGTGTAATGGGAGCCAAATTACCTCTTAAATTAGTGTTAGCTTGCTTATATGAGCTAATTAGCTCTTAATTGTGTTTAATCGTTTAACGACAGGGGTATGTTGAGAGTTCTGAGATTAAATCAAGATCTAGTGCTTTACATACTAGATCTTACTAATTACTGGTAGGTTACCAAACTCTGCAGTCCACAATCTCCCCGAGATATGTTCTCATTGTTATACACTGATCTCTGATGGAAAAAACGTTGTAGTCCCAACAGTTTTTGCAATGGGTTTTTGTTATTTGTCTTCTGTTTTGTGGTTGTAGAACGTAATGCATATAGAAGAAACAGCGCCGCCTGCATCTACAGTATTTGATGGTTTCAGGATTAGGTTTCTGTTCAGAAATGTGTAAAACAGTCAAATTTTTCTATTTTTTTAAATTATTGATTACATTATTTTTAACTATTTTAATTGCAGCTCACTCATTTTCGATTTAAATAGTTTTACCATTAAATAAAAGTGCATAACTTTCTTTTTGTCAGTGTCTAAGCTCCATTTTCACCAAAACATGATGTTTTACATTGGTTCAAGCAGAAATATTATTCTATTTATTCATTTTGTAATTCAAAAAAATAGTATCAAACTGTCCCACTGAAAACTTCCATAAAATAGTGAACGTTTTTGATTTTACTTGCGTTTTATTTACTGTACTAACCTGCAAATAACACTATAAACACCGAGTTGGTCACATGTCACCTGGACCACGCAGCGTAAGCCACGCGCGCTATTTTTTTATCTGACGCCGACATGCGGGGGCGTGGCTTCCGCTGCTGCGTCATCCGACAAGGAAGATCCCGCTGCAGTTTACTGGAAACGGAGACGCGTGTAGAACAAAGTTCTGTCTGTAAGTACAAATGTTACTTTTTGAGCACAGCGGAAGCGTCAGTGTGTTTTCTGAGGGATTTCTCCAGATGTTTGCGTTATTTTTTTACTTTGTTGTTTTCAAACTTAAGCAGAGTAAAGCTTCAGCAGGTCCAGCCAAGGGCAGCCAGCATGGTGGCTTTAGGTAGTTTTTCTGTTTTGACTAAGAAACAATGTTATTAAACACATTTTAGCTGCTTTGAAACAACTTTTTAAAACTGTTTTCTAGCGCAAATTCACCTGGACGTCCTTACACGTGTTGACTTTAACTCTGGCAAAAGTTTGGCAAAAGTCTGCATGAAGTTAATAATGCAGAGTTTTAAGTGAGTTAGTTATTATAACCATGAAAGCAGCTGATACCATATTTAGACTGCCTGATATCCGTTTCTGCTAATGTTGGGTGGCAGCAGCTTTGACAGATGTAGGACATGCCAGCTGAGACTCAGATAATAGCAATGAGGCTTCTCTGTTCTAAAAACAAGCAGACAGATGTCAGATAGAAACCCACAGGCAAATCCATTATTAGTGTTACTTTTATTTTAGCTTTTGTGAGATTAGCATCTTGATAGACAATAATGTCCAGTTTGGATCTTAGAAAGTCATATAATCATGACTCTAATCCATGATCCTGTCTGATGTTTGCAGATTTGTTAGCACATCATGCCTGATGAGATGTCAAGGCGTTTAATTCTAGGAAGAAGCGACGGGGAAGCCAGACACTTCGAAGATGCCGTGTCCAATCCCAGCACCCCAGTGATCGGCATCCTGGGCACTGGAGACTTCTCCCGCTCACTGGCCAGGAGGCTGGTGGCCTCTGGCTACCAAGTCGTGGTGGGAAGTCGGACCCCCACACGCTTTGTAGCTCTGTTCCCGGAGGAGGCCGAGGTGATACACACACTTCTTGTGTAATTGGTGTTTTTGTTTCTTTCCTTCTGGAGATGATTATACATCATTCGTTTCCCACGAAGGGTAATTACTTTTGTTATCATGGCTATATAATTTATTGAGGTTAAAGCTGCATTTTACAAAGTTAAATCTCTCTGAACTGGTTGGATTAAGTTTTATTTAGGTGTATTAGACTAAAGAGGGTTGAAGGAAATACATAAACACAAGTTTGTGCTTTACAAAAATGTCATAAAGATTATAAAATTAAAGTAACAATGATACAATTTTCTGTAATATTTAGGAAGATATTGCCTTCTAATATTTTAAACAACAATCAAGTGTGCACATTCAAGACTTGCAGACTTTTCAGTTTCACCATGTTGAAATGAAAATACCTCCTAAATCCAGGGGTTATCTGTCCAAAACAGTCATCTTGACTATTTTGTAGCACGTCACTTGCATGCTGTGGCTGCTTGGAGCCTTTGATTCATAGACACAAGGTGCTGGGTGCTGGTGACTCTCTGCGCCACATTGGTGTCAGGAGATTTACCTTTTGAATGGCCTTCTTTGCATATTTAAAAGAATGTTGGCATAGATTTTAGTCACTCAGGTTGACTGTTAAAGAATCTTCCCACAGGTTGGAGGAGAATCATGTTTGGTATCTTGATCTTGTTAGATGACACGTCTCTACGGGTTTTAGTGGAGCTTAAGTGGATTCCAGCCCAAATCATAACACACTTACCATCATATTTGACAAATGAGCTACACAAATTCCTTTTCACCTCTATTTTCCTGTCCATCAATTTGAAAATAATCGCATTTGAACCATAGGCGTATTAAAAACTTCTGTGTTCTAGGTGACCACCCAGTTGGAAGCGGCCAACAAGGCAGACTTGATCTTTGTCGCAGTTTACCCTGAGCATCACTCCACACTGATGGACTTGAAGCAGGCGTTGGCCGGAAAGACCTTGGTGGATGTTAGCAATGGTTTAAGCATCAACCATAAGGGTCCATCCAACGCCGAACTCCTGGCAGACTATTTCCCTGGAAGCTTCGTGGTTAAGGGGTTCAACACCGTATCCGCCTGGACGCTGCAGATGGGCGCCCGAGATGGAGGCAGGCAGGTAGGAAGCATCATTAGTTTCCAGTGATGGATGGCTTATTGAGTTAAATATTTTTGGATGCTATAAATGGTTTGTTTTATGTTTTTGCTTGCAGGTTTTTCTGTGCAGCAACAGCCAAACGGCCAAGAATTTAGTGAAGTCAATCTGCCATAGGATGGGCTTCATCCCTGTTGACATGGGCCTCCTTTCTTCTTCTCTGGAGATCGAAAATCTGCCGCTCTATTTATTCCCATCCTGGCGCCTCCCTGTCCTCTGCATGTTGCTCCTCTTCGTCTTCTTCTACCTGTACAACTTCGTCCGGGACGTGTTGCATCCTTACATCACGGAGCACAAAAGCGTCTTCTACAAAATGCCCATCAAAGTGGTGAATGTCACCCTTCCGTGTGTGGCCTTGGTGATGTTAGCGTTGGTCTACCTGCCTGGTTTGTTGGCCGCCGTCCTCCAGCTGTGGTCGGGGACCAAGTACAACCGCTTCCCGAACTGGTTGGACCGCTGGCTGACCAGCAGGAAGCAGCTGGGACTCTGTAGCTTCCTGTGCGCCGTCCTGCACGCCGTTTACAGCCTCTGTGGTCCTCTTACGAAGCCGGTGAGGTGAAGACGCAGTGGAGCTCGATGTCTTGATCTTGACCAGTGCCATAAAATCTGCTTGTTGTCCAGGTGAAGATGGCTGTGCAGGAGGTGGATGAGGACGTGTGGAGGAAGGAGTTATACCTTTCTGCGGGCATCATGGCCCTCGGGTTGCTCTCCCTGCTGGCGGTCACCTCTCTACCTTCAGTTGCCGGCACCATCAACTGGAGGGAGTTTAGCTTCATCCAGGTATGTTTCATGTTTAGTTTCACTTCCAAGGTAATATCCCCTCAGAGACGCACTATTCCTCCTGTAAGTAAGACTCTGAATGTCCCACACATGTAAACACCAAGCTTTTCCGCTCCCGCAGCTGCCCCAGATTCACAGCTAAACTTATCCTGTGACAAAGCCAGCAAAGTGTTGTGACTCAGCATGCACGCACTTCCTTTTCTTTCCTCCTCGAGGCCTGGGGTCTTCCAGGACTCGCAGTCTGCCTGTGCTGCATTTCCCCCCATCCCACTTTCATCTCTCTGTAATCCGCTGGCCGTCAGATTAATCACGTGGCGATGAGCGGAAAGGCGAGTTTGTGCTCGGTAGATGTACAGTCACTGGGCGAAGCTGCAGGATAAGCGTGCTCATTGGCCTGCTAAATACACCACAAAAATCTGGATGAGGTGTTTCTACTCATATACTGTTTTTCATCAAACATGGCTCTGTGATGTAAACCTCTCCTCTTTCCTCTCAAGGCAGATTTTTGGAAACCTAAATTTTTTTTTCCAGACACAACTGTTTCTTTTTCATTTCCTCCAGAGAGTTCATACATGTCCAGTTTTTTCTAGTTGTAAACGCACAATTTTTACCATTTCAAAAGTTCTCTGAGCATTGCATGAATTTTCTGAATCATCTGCTACAGAAACGACTGGCAGCTGTTTAAAATGTTTTCCTTTTTTTAAAATAATGAACTTGAAACTATTTGGTAGAAGCCTCACAACCCTTCCCAGATTTATAGGAAGAAACAATTTCTTCCTTAAGATAATTCTTCATGTCTTTTCTTTGTAGCATTGTTGTCACAAATAAAGACTCCAAATCATTAAATACCTGCAGTGAAAGAATAAAGGGTGTACTTAGTTTTTCACAGAGGATTTTCCATTTTGGATGAACTGCATAAATATAAAGTTAAAATACTCCAGTAGATTCCACACAGAAAAACAAAGCTGATTTTTTTTAACCCCTGCTCTGCAGCCCAGACAACCTTGGGATGTTTTTGGTGGCTTGTGGCCCCTGAAGGTGCAGTACGCAGCTCAGTCAGTCACAGTGACAGAGGAAAACACCAGTGGGGTCTCTTTAGGTCAGGAGTGGTGGGTCAGCGCATGTCCTCAGGCTCTACTGTGGCCTCTAACACAGTCAGCTAACGCTATGGACTGGCTGACTCTTTGTCTCTGCCAAAACATGTGATGTGTTTTATGGGTAGTTTGCAGACACGCCCCAAAAACTTTGCAGCTGCATCACAATTACATGTTTTTCTGATGTTATGAAGTTTATTGCATTTTTTATTTGTATGTTTCTCTGATGATTTGCAGTCTACGCTTGGTTACTGCGCCTTGTTCATGGCCACCTCCCACACGCTCTTCTATGGGTGGAATCGTGCCTTTGTTCTTGCACAGTACCGCTTCTACATGCCCCCCACATTCATCCTGGTCCTGATTCTGCCCTTCGTGGTCCTGCTGGGCCGCGTGGCGCTCTGCCTGCCCTGCGTAGCCGGGCGGCTCAGGAAGATCCGCCGCGGCTGGGAGAGGAACCGACACATCCGCTTCATGCTGCCGGCTGAAGACTGCTGCAACGGGGTGGAAGACGTCAGTGATGTGTGAGAAACGCTGTTGCTCTTAGAAACAAGGTGGATCATCTCCACAGAGGAGATAAAATATTTATACTATGCTGGAATTTGTCAGAAAACTGAAGTTCTTCTCAACAAGAACCTGAGGGAATCCAGCCAGGGATACCTGAAGCACTTAATGCTGTCAGAAATGACTGCTGTTTCTTTAATTTATTGTTTGCTCTGTTTTTAGTGTCAATCATGGTGCAGAATGATATTGGCTCTTCAGAAAACGTTGCAGCATTGTCATGCAGCAGACTAAGCTGTTGTAGCTCAAGATACCAAAATAAGTTTCGACTTAAACTTTTCATGTGACTATTTGTATTGTTGAGGCAAAGATTTTGATTTTTTGCTCAATTCATTTCCCTGTTATTTACAGGTTTATTTTTTGTTATTAATTATTATGCAAATATGGCAAATATTAAGCAGCAATGCATGTCATATTTTCTACTAATCCTGCCTTCAAAACATATCCAAAATAACTTTGATAATCAAACTAGAAAAAAAAGTAAATGGAATAAATCTGTTCTAAATGTCTCATCAGTTTCAGACTGCAAAGTGATTCTGCTAGATTTTATTTAGGGATATCAAGATAAAATCAAGCCACACATTTCAGATTTGTTTTGAACATTCAAACTTGTAGGCCAGGTGTGAACCTCAAGTTAAAACTGGAACTATAGAGTGAAAGTTATGTAGTTCAGTTGTCAAACATTTTTATTTTAGTGATGCAAAACACTAACGCATCAATCTTGATGTCTAATGTTCCTGACATAAAATGATACTGCCATTTAACTTGAATGTTGTTGCCAATAAAAGAATGTAAACTTTGACCTTTGCTGGAAGGTGCTATACAAATAAAATTTGATTTGATTTTAGTATTGTACATTGATGTGTTTTTATGTTTGCGCTCAATATAAATGTAGATAAAGAATTTTTAGCATGCATTAAAATAATGTAATAACCTTTAAACTGAGCCAAATGTATCCAGAGACATTATTTCAATGTTTGTCCAGATGCTGCCATCTTGTGGCCGTTTTCTGAACTGCACTGTAAATATGACTAATTGTTTTATTTTCGGTCCAATCTGAAAAAAAAAACAAAAAACAAAAAAAAAAAATTTGCAAAATGATAGTAAATAAGCTTAAAGTTTGATCGTTTCTGCTGTGTGGATTGGGGATCAATAGAGTTCTTACCTGGCACTGTTACCCAGGAAATCCCTCCCCACACTGCAGCTTATTTCCCGCGTGACAAGCCTGCAGGACGAGTTGAGCAAGACTTGCAGTCGGAAGTTTCAGCAGCAGCAAAGCCTTACACCCTGCCACCATGTCTGTAAGTGCATTTTGTTTTATTTCTTATGTTACCAAACCGATCTGCTTTGCATGAGCTGATTTTTCTCCAATCTCTGAGATTTGATCACTTCAGCAGAGCTGCAGGTCTCCTGTGGTTTTTATATGTTCCTCTGTCTGGTTTAATGCTCCGCTTCCTTCCTCTCTACCAGGAAGCATTTGAAAAAGCAGCAGAGGAGGTGAAAGTCCTGAGACAAAGACCAGATAATGGAGAAATGAGTTCAATTTATGGTTTGTATAAACAAGCCACTATTGGAGACGTGAACATGGGTGAGTGTGTAGTGGGGATGTTTTGTATCCGTTGTTTGGACAGGGTAGCGCTGAAAAGATTTTTTTTAAACGGGTTTGACAAGTGAGATTTCAGATTATGAACAATGAGTGTGTAGTTTAAACGAGGCATCTTATTTATCAGACTTTATTGAACATAACCCTTATATATAACATCAGCAATCCACCATTTTCAGAGCTTATCTGCAGAAACTTTTACATGTTTAGTTTCTTTTTAAATTGTTAATATTGGATCCTACACCTCAGATTACAGTAGACTCATTATGACCTTCTCAAACTTCTATGAAACAGCATTTTGACTCAGATTTAGCTGCACAGGTTTTAGTTATAACTAAAACAAAGCAGCTCATTTTGCAAAGGCAGGGAAATAACATTTTCTTCTTTTCTTAAACTTAATATTGGCATTATACGTAAAGATTAGTTGAACAATTCTCAGCCAACTGTAACTTAAATTATGCAAGACTGTCTGACAAAAATATTCAAAATGTAATGCAATGCAATGACCCAAACTTCACTGCAACAATCTAAAAGGCCCAGCAGGGGGCAACAAATACCCAAAAAGCCCTGCAGACCGTTTCAACCATGTAGAATAAAACTCAAGGACATACAACATTTATCTCCAGTCAAAGCAAACAAGCATGAACTTTTGCAACTTTAAAAAAAGTTGCAAAAGTTCAGTTATCTCCAATGTCATATTAGGCGGTCTCGTAAATAAAATTGTACAAACTTTGATTGTGTTTTGAAGTCACTTGAGGCTAAACACAAGACTCTTTATTTCCACAGAACGACCAGGGATGCTCGATTTTGCAGGAAAAGCAAAATGGGATGCATGGAACGCAAAGAAAGGTTGGATTCATCAAACTTTATTACAATAACTCAACACAATAAATCAATGTAGGGTTAAACAAAGATTTGTCAATGTAGATTTAAGTCTTTGAAAGAATCTAAAACTAAATTAAACCGTCAAGAATTATGTGCTTTGTCTCCCAAACCAACAGGTTTATCCAAAGAAGAAGCAATGGTGGCTTATGTGGAGTTGGTGGAAAAGTTAAAAGAGAAATATGGAATGTAGAGTCTTTAAGAAACACATCAATAAAGAAATACACAAGAAAAACTAAATGTCTTTTTTTGTTTTTGAAATAAAACCTTTTTTCCCTCAGTTTTGTAGTTTTAGAGTCTGCTACCTCAACTGTCAAGTAAAACATAAATTTACCACTGGCAAACTTTTTTTCTTCCACCCAATTTTCCATTTATATACTCTGAATAGCCAGTTTCATTAACAAGAAAATCTAATGGCATTCTACAAGGAATCTATAAAATATACAAACTATCACCCACATATTGATTATATTCTAATTTATTGAGATGTACCTGTATATAGTATTTTGCTAAATATTTACCTCAATCCTGTTTTGTTTTCCAATAAAAGTCTCAAAGATTTTTTTTTCTTAAGTGACCTAAGTGAGTTATGTAGGCATATAAAAAGCAATGTTGTGCAGAAAGGAATGTTTTGATCTTTATTTTTTTCTAGACAAGCAGTCAGTGATAATGATGTAATATTTTCTTTAGCTTGTTCTGAAAATGTATTTATTATTTGCCAAATGGTTCAATGTGTTCGGTTTTGTGATGTGGACCATTTCACATTGTTTACAGATTATTTAAAACATGATTCATGATTTAAATAATCTTTTTAAACGTGAAACATAGTTTTTTGGCATAAAGTTGAGGTTTCCAAATTGTCATGTTTAAGGATTTAAGATTCATGAAATCTTCGCTTATGGAACGATTGAAAATATGGTTTAATTTCATTTAGGGCAGCCTTTGATGGGGTCCTGATGGAAAACTGCAGTGCTCAGACGTCATATCCTATCTCTTCTCTGTCATAAACTGAATGTACTGTTTACTGTACACACAGCTGCAATTTGGCCATTAACCTCAAGGGCTTTTTCCAGGTAATGTTTAATGTCTCCGCCAGATTTTGGTCTAATCCAAACAAACCATCCTTTCAACTATTTATTAGATGTTTTAATTAAAATAAAAAATGTTTTCACAAAAATATCTTTTGTCTGTTGCCATTTTTGTTTATATGTAAGCTTCCAACAACTGTAAAGGTTAATCTATTGTATCCTAATATTACTACAGCTTTTCCACCACCAGTTATTTTATTTATTTATTTTTTTATGAATGATCTTCTGGCCTTCATTCTGCTCTGAAATGTCATTATATAAATAATACAGAGCTAAAATGGAAAAGGTTAGCTACAAATTAAGGATATTTTTTAATAAAAAGACATGGACAAAGTAGTCAAAACATTACAATTTAAATGAGTCATGCTTTCTCATCACAATGAGAGCATTTGTTGAATAGAACACCTTTTATTCCTCTGAAAATGTTTGCAATGTAGATTAAAGATATTTGGGATCTTCCCTGGTCCAGTCAAGCCTTAACAAAGCAAACAAACTTTCATTTTTAGTCAAATTAGTCCCACAGAAGAGTAGCTCTTAACTTTTCCATCTTCTTTGGGGTTACAAGAAAAGTTCTTACTCAGAGTTATGTTCACATCTCCAAAGTGTCTGCAGGGAATCCAGTGTTCGTAAGACTGACAGGAGAAGAGGGCAGCAGGGAGACCTGTGTGTGAGGTGATCCGATCTGGCTGATGGAGCCGTGATGCTGGCGACTCCGACTGGGCAGGTGCCGGGTGAGCTTCCATCTTTTCCACCGCCTCTTAAACTCCTGCTGCACCTGAAACATACAACAACAACGCTGCCCAGTTGGGTCCATGCTTCACAAGGTTCGCGTTGTATCTTGACGGTTCAGATTTTACCTCTCCATTCATGAAGCAGTAGAGAATAGCGACCACAAAACCCTGGGAGATGCAAGATTGGAAGGATTACACATTGAGATTATGGCATTTAACAACTCTGAAAAAATATTTGGCCCCAAATAGATTTGTTTTGTTTTAAATGCAATGGGAATAAACTATTCAGGCCCAACCCTTGGCGTTGCTTTTTAAAATAATTTAGCTCACTTTATGTTAACGGGAAGGTTCTGTTTCAGTCATTCCTTTATTCTTTAGGTGTGGTATAATGAATGATGAGCGCAAAACATACCTGTGTGGATGACAGCGCCAGCTCTGCAAACGTCCAGATCTTAAAAACAGAGTTGCTGACGTCGACGGGTAAGAAAACAAACAGAATGCAGTGGAGACCAAACAGAGCCACCAGGAAAAATGTGGACTTAATCAGCTTCCTGTTGAAGAAAAAAAAAAACCCAACAGTTTCTTCAATGAAAAAATTCTGGCTTAAGTTGTCAGGAAGCCTTTCTGACTTTCTACAACCAGCCATGTTGCATTGGAAAACTGTTACTTCCAAATATAAATATGCAGGGTTCCTGATTCGCCAGAACAAAAATAGGTTTCCAGTTACCAATGCAAAAGTGAACAGCAATTCACTATGATCTGATTTTTTTCTATCACATAAAATAAAATTACAATGCATGGATAGAATATAGTGAAAAAGACTCACATATACTGACTGAATTCGCTCCGGTGTGCATCTGACATTCTGAGTTTGCTGATCAATATCCTCAAAATACCCAAGAAAAAGATGAGATTCACCTAAAATAAGCAGAAGAATTTTTTATTTTGAAAAATTCAGAACATCGACCTATGTTTTAGGGTAAAAGGTTCCTAAGCTAGCTAGCCATTGATATAATTAGCACAGCCAATTAGCACTGCGATACAGCTACATGTACTCAAAAGTGACTAATTTTATTTCCAGAAGTATGTTCTAAAGCAACAAATATTTTACACATATGGAGAGAAGAACTGGCACACGGAGTATCCACCAAATCCATTCATGTCTCCTTCTTTCCCAACACCTGTACCCAAAAAATAAGACATAATTATAATTTCTGACATTTAGAAATTTAAAATTAAGTAGATGTTTGATTAATATTTTAGTTTCTTACCCTTCATCTTCATAAAAATACTTAGCACATCCCCAGCAGACAATAATAATAAATGGTACGCCTGTAAGACATTTAGGAATGCAGTATTTTAGAGACAGCACTGAGCTTTATGCATGTGTTTACAGGTAAAACAAAGCCAAAACTGTGAGATGTTTTATATTGCAGTACCCCAGCTCAGGAGGATGGACCAGGCGAGGTGTTTCTTCAACGAGAAGAAGGATCGGCTCACCAGCGTGAACAGGAAGTGACCCTCCACCAGCAGCCAGCTGTAGTTGGCAAGGATGAAGTAGTTGCAGAACATCAACACAATCTTACAAGCCCCCTGCAGAAAATGGTGTCAGGAGAGACCATCTCATTTCAGTGGTAAGAAATTCTTTCCTTTCTTATTTAAGATGATCGCCGTTCATTCTTACAGTGGAGCTGTCGCAATCGTAGAGCTCTGAATCTGTGAAAAGGAGACCGTCCCTGATAAAGATGAAGATGGCTCTCAGGATGAAGGAGACAAACAACTGGATGTGGATGTAGTTCCTTGTACAGTGCAGCTTCCTGCAGAATATATCAACTCTGTTTTAGAGGCGAGCTCGGCTGTGCTTGACCCGATGATGATAAACCGGCCAAAGGTGAGGCATTGCAGGGCTTTAAGAGCGCTCTGTGGTTGATGTAAGGACAATTGGAAAAATAGAAGAAATTTTTCTCACCTAAAGAAGCAGAAGATGGTGATAGCGATGGTAAGAGTGATAAGGGAGAGTGTGTATCCGATGGTGTACATGGTCTTCACATAGGAGAAATACCAATGGGAAGCTGAGAACTGAGAGGAGAAATTAGTTTTAAATACTTCTTCCTAGAAATATATAAAAAAACTCAAGCATATAACAAACTTTCTTAGCAAGTTCATTATAGTTTGAGAGGGGATTGCATGAAATAATGTCTTTTTTTTATTTTACAAAATAGAAATCTACTTACGTGTTCTAGATATTTAAGTGAGTCATTGAAAGCGTAACTACATGCATCCTCATGTAGGGAGAGAAGATCCGTCCATCCATTACTGGTGCAGTTGCGATGCACTTCACCTGCAAAATACCAATAAAAAAATACCAATAAAATGACTCCTTCATGCCGTCTTTTGACTGTAGCCCTGCAGAAATACCTGCAAGCAAGAAATGACTGACAACAAGTAAATGGTGTTTGTATTATCTTTATTCAGAATATTGAACCTAGGTGAAAGCGACAAGGATATTAATCTATCACTCTCGTTTGCTGTTTAGATAATTTATTATCCCTTTAATACGCAGCACTCTTACATGTTACCCAGTCTTTTGTGTACACAAGCTTCACATAGCTGTTTTGATAGAGACGGTAAGAGGAAGAAGAAACTCTGTCCTATCCAAAGACAAATTAGTTTTCTATGGAAATAATTAACCAGTGGTATGAGATGCAGGTAATGGCTTACAGTTTCTAAGTGTGCGTCATAGTCATTGCATCTCACCTTTTGAAACACGGCCAAAGATATCCAGGCATGGCAGAGAGACTGTTTCCCCCAGAGAGGCGGGTGGCCAGCAGTGCATGTCTTCCCACATTCCCTTACAATACACACTGCTGTTTACTACACACATAAAACAAGAACGACAAGTTTTATGTTTCTTTGCAGCGGTAAAGCAGCTAAGGAATATTGATACATTCAAAAAAAAAAGAGTTAATGGTCTAAATTATAATTAAAGTTGTCCCAAAATCATATTTTAATGCATGTTGTTACATGACCACTAGCTGTCACTAAAACATAATTTCTGTAAAGGCCCAAGTTCTCAAACATTTCACTCATTTTAGTTTAAAATGCTAGTTTGAAAATGAGGTCGTTTTTTGTCAAAAATACAAACATAAAATAGGGAAAAGATCAACAAAATTCAAAACTGTATTGATTTACCTTTTGCTTTTTGTTCCATGAACAATATTAGATTTTTCATGCACTTTTCTTCCTCTTTCATCGGATCGACATGAGGATTACAACCTGGTGAAGATCTAGCCTGTAAAATAAAACACTATTGTTTTTTTTTTATTATTATTCTCAGGCATTGCAATAAAGCAGGTGTCCTTGTCTGTACCTGGTGTAAAAGCAGCAGCCCGATCAGTCCAACTTCCTTCATCGTGAGGATGCCCATCTACCTCCAAGCTGCATGGGCGATCTGAGCAAAAAGCAACATCATGTGCAGCTGATATATGAGACTTTTAAATCTAACATAATAGTGTTCTGGGCAGGACAAACTGAGGAGCGCTGACATTACAGTTGCTCCATTAAATGTCAAAATAAAACTATGTTGCGTGAATAAATGTACGGCACTCTCCGTGTTTTTACTGAATAGACATATTAATATATACGTTTTAGTTTAAATGTTAAGTATTTTTTTTAAATTTAAGTTCATTAAAAAAAAAACCCCGAAAAACACGAGTGCGTGGATGTTTCAACTCTTATTTGGAAACCCGAAAGACGTACTTCCGGTCTGAGTTTTGGGAGTTGACGGAATTTAACGGAACGTGCTCGCCCCTGTCCGCGCCCCTCGCATGTCACCATGGTAACGCAGGCGTCTGTCGCGTTCCGTTTCATAAACAACGAGAGATAAATATGTTTAGACGTCGCTTCTCTGGTAGGATGATAGTGTTTAATAGTGTCATTAAACTTTTTGTGCTCGAAATAACTTTTGTTTACGTTAACGTAAGCTAATTAGCTACATTTGTCGCAGACAAACTCCGTGTTAATGCGTGATTTTATTTTTTATTTTTTTACTTTGCCATCAGAGTTAATAGCAGTCAGAAAGTTTGAACCCAGGTCTGAATAAGAATGAAACATTTTCTCCAATTTATTCTCTTAAGTTGCTTCAGTTTATTAATGTTTATTAATCTGTCCCTCATTCCTCCTTGCTTTGTTTATTTCTTATTGTTTGTTTTCTGTTTTTGTACTTTGTTTGGTGTTTCCTATCTTCCACTACTTCTGTTTGTCTTTTTTTACTTTTATTTTCTTCTGTAATTTCCCTTCCTACTCTTATGTTCCTCATTTCCTCCACTGAACTTCTTTCCTCCTTCCTACTTCCTTTTTTCGTTCTTACCCATTTGTCCAGCCATCCCTCCTTCCATCTTTCTACCTTGTTTCCTTTCTCCTTCCTCTATTTCTTCAAACCTCTTAGCCTTCCTCCCATCTTTTCTTCCTTCCATCCTCTCACCATTCCATCATTTTTACCTTCCTATCGGTGCAACAACAAAAATAACAATAATACTAATGAATTTGATTCTGTGTGATTAAATACTTCTTCCATCTCATCGTTTATTTCTAGGTTTACCAGTAGGATTATTTGTCAGCACACAGCAGTCTCCTTGACTCCCCTCCAGCCGTCTGCCATTCCTCCCATGAGGATCCAGAGCTGACCTTTCTCCAGGATGGAGGTGGCCGCGCAGACGCCATCAGAGCCCCACAGGAGAGGGACGTCTCTGCCCCTGAGCCAGCTGGTGGAGGAGACCAGGATCAAAGTCCTCCCAAATCATCTGCTGGATTCAAGTATGTGCATCAACCTTGTCCCTCTGATATGCTGCTTTAATTACTCTATTTTCTCAACTTGTCTTCATTTTCTCTTTAAGAAATCTACGCCAGAGTGAAAAGTAACAGTCACATTGAAGCAGACCCCGCTGAGCTTCACTTCAGCGGCTTTGAGCTTGGGAAGAGTTACACCAAGACCGTGGTGAGGATAACTCTGGTCCAGACACAAAAAGTGTGATGAAGATGTTGGTGAATCTCAAATGGTCCTGAGGAATTGATGGAAACTCTTTTTCTCCATTAGAATCTAATCAACATTTCAAATGCACCGGAGAATATTCACATAATTCCAACTCAAACAAAATACTTCCAGACAACTTACACCAAAAAGGTATTCTGAACTTGAATCAACCCTAAATCACTTGTTCCTGAGTCCAGTCAGTGTTGATGCTCACCTCCTTGTGTGTGCTAAGGATCGGCTCATCCCCGGCCTCGCCTACACTGTGAATGTTGCGTTCTGCCCAGAGGATTGGTGTTACTTCAGCGACTGCATCCGTGTTCACTGCAAGGTTAGCGTCTCGTTAAAGTCACCCTTCACACTCCTTTGACCTCAACGTTTTCCAACTCCTCTCCTTTTAAGGATGAAGAGAACCTGTTAATTCCAGTCCATGCTTACCCTGTCATCAATGACCTACTCATCCCCACTCACATCGACCTCCCTGCCATACCGCTTGGACAAAGGTGTGTGTGGAATGTTTTTTTTTACCTTCCGTCTGCCCAGACTCCTACCTGTCGCTTTGTATTCTTCAATGCAGCCGACCTTGCCTCCATTCAACCTGTTGGTTTCAAGTCGTAGATGAATAAAATGTTATTTTTCTCCTTCCCTGTCTCCAGTGTTCAGCATGTCATTCCCCTGAGATGCAGCTGTCCAGTTGACTTTGAGTTTCAGGTGTACATTATTCAGCCACATGATGCCTACTCCATCGACCCCCTCGCAGGTAAAGATGTGTAAAATTGTTTAATTTCATCTCAAAGATGATCAAAAGGAACGAATAAAACATACAAACCCCTCACTTCTAAGTATTTGTGAAAGAAAACTGTCACAATTCTTATCTCATGCTGATTTGTCCAAAAAAAAAAAAAAAACAACAAAACACATTGGAGTTTGTGGTTATAATGTGAAAGTTTATATTTAACTTTAACTTACTTTTAGCCCTCCAGAGTTAGAATCCACCCACTAGACAAACAAGTGCTTTAATTGCTTTCCTCAGTCTGCACGGCCATGTGTTGTGTATTATGTAAGCTTTTGCTGGACTTGAAGGGTCCGTCTAGTTTCCACACGCTGCCACACAGCAGCATTCGGTTGTCTGGAAAGCATCACAACAGATGGCGGAAAAAGCACTTGGGATCCGGATTACAGCTGGCTTAACTGTTGGAACGAGAAGAAGAAAGATACAAATGAGTTTCTGTTTTTTGCTTGGACGTGCTAATACTGGCTTCCTCTTTTCTTCTGTTTCAAATAACAGCAACGCATGAAAACACACATTGACCACAATAGTGGCAGGTTGACATTATGGTTCAGTTTTCACCATCTTCACTTATTCCCTAAATAGACGGAAGACAGGAAGCCAACATGATAAAAATTGACTTTAAAGCAAGAATCTCTCTTTATCATGTTCTAAATCCACTTAAGTGTTGCAGGTACACCCTGGACAGGTTGCCAGGTCAATACAGAGGAAAACAGAAACAAACAGGACACATGCATCAACACAAACTGACTTAAGGAAATATAGAGTAGCCGATTAAACTAACAAATATGCAAAACATGTTACAATTTTATCCAAGTCCACATCTGTTTTATTTCCATGATTAGAACTATATTAAACCAGGTTATTTCCATTGGAAATTCAGTATTTTTTATGAATTATGGAGTGAAAAATTCACAAACATTCTCAAATCTCACAAAAAGATTTGATATTACGTCCTATTTGCATTAACTGTAGTTTCAATCCATATTTGCACCAGCTCATTTTAATTGATTAAACCAAAATATGAGTTTTCTCTGGCTGGTCGATTTTATTTAACTGAGTCAAATAACCACATTATTAAATAATATGAAGATATTACAGAAAATAACTTGGAAATTATTAGCTTTCATATTGGGTACAAAAAGCCCTGAAGCTGGCACCAGATAATGCACCGGCAAATACAAAAATCCTTTTTGTATATGAAGAAGACCAAAACTGCAAAAGTACAGAGTGGTGAATGTATTTGATGCATACTTTGTATTATAAACACATCACCTTTTTCTCTTTCACTTTGAGATTAAACCAGACTAAATAATAAAAAGAGAAAGAATAAGAGAGAATGTTTTGAGAGATTTTTCAGACTCCAATATTTGTAAACAAATCTCTAGTTCGTAAAAGTGAATCGTATGAATATAAATATTTAGCATATAAACAACCTTCAAATAAATCTGTTTTAATTTAACCGGAAATGCCAGCACATGGCATTTAGCAAAAACAAACAGTCAGTATCTTCATAAATTTAGCCATAAATTTAGCGATGTTAGCCACAGATCACGTGCAAATCCTTTTTTGCAGGTGTGATACCAGCCAATGGGGAAGTTCTGATGACCGTGACGTTCTGTCCTCTCCAGTATGAAACGTCTCAGTTCACCTTCCAGCTGGTCGTCTCACAGTTCAACACCAAGCCCTACTTGTGCACCATCACCGGGTTCTCCAGGCCCAATTTACCACTCAGGTAAAGCAACCAAAAAGAGATGCGTACATTCAGTGCCCCATACCAAAAGATCATAAAAACAAGTTGTTTGTTAAGAATCTCAAACTTCTCAACAAAGTATTGGCATGTAAGCGCTTGAGAAATAATGCAATAATGAGGTTGAACTTTTAGTTTATGCTGTTGTGCCTTTCTGCTCTGTGTGTGTGTGTGTGTGTGTGGGTAAATTCATAGTCATGAGTATTGGATGTCCCACATAAATAGTTAAAATTGTTTCTTTCTTTTCTGTTGTTCTTCTGAAACAATAAAAACGTTCCAAGGTTTTCCGAGCAAACTGCCAATAAGACAAGTTTCAGGCGAAAACACGGATTCTCCGCAAATGGCTTTGTGTGCCTGATTAGAGCATCCCATTTATTTTTCCAGCTAGCATAAAAAACCTAATGTTTAATTCTGCACCCATGAGAATGATGGTGCCATCCATCACACAGCAGTAGCTTCTTCCACCGCACTGTCTGCTATCTCCCCCAAAAGTTAATAATTCATGGGGAGAGAAAAAAAGCGTGCTAGCTGCTGCAGTGATATCAGAATAGATAATACTTCTTAATGGATGTTTAGCATAAAAATCTCTCTCTCTCTCTCTGTTTGTTGTTTCCCACCGTGGAACCAAATGATAGATAAGATATGTGCATGTGAAATACCAAAAAAATAAATATCTAGACCTCGAGACTGAATCAATGTTTGATTCTGCTTGTTTGGTGTCTCCCCAGAATGACTTATCTGACATGGATAAAGATGATTTTACAACAAACTAAAGATTATCCAGTCATATTTTAATCACCGTGATTCAGTTCTGCATTTTGCATTAATATAATCAGGCTCATAATACGCTCTGCTGACACTGTTATAAATCTGCGATAAACTTTTCAAGGAGGCTTTTGGATTATAATACTTTATCAGAAGTTGTTTCATAAAGGAAAACACAAAATAAACCAGGAAGAGGTGAATTTATCATAATCAGTATCGACATTGCAATATTTAGAGAGAATAAATCATCCAGTGTTCTTCTAATATGATGCAGCTCCATGTTTAATTATTTATCGGAATATTTTGTCACTCTGGGCTGATTATGCAACTCATATTGAATTGGGTAGTTTGAATTTATTGATTTTTTTTCAACTCAGTTTGTCAAAATAGTTGACAGCTGCTGAAATTCATACATTCAGTTATTAATATTAGTTTAATTTGAAATGTTCTGCTCTGTTTGCACTCCTCCATTTGGTTTTTATAATAATAATAATAATAAATTTTATTTGTAACGCACCTTATATTTCAAAGAAATCTCTAAGTGCTACAGAGACAAGAATAGATTGTAGAGCTTACAATATCACTTAGAAAAGTCAAAATAGCATCTGTAAATTGAAAGTGAGTGTATTTAAGTACAAAAAAATGCAGCCTTACTCATTTTTATTATTCAAACTTTTCAACTCCAGATTAATTTTTTTTTCCATTTATATTTTTGGTAGAACACCACATGTCAGATCTGGAGCCCCCGTAGAATACGGAGGTCATCCAACTCCACCACCTTCTGGACGTAAAAGCAAGGAGGCTGACAGATTAAAGGTGCCTATTTCTTTTATTTTATTTTTTGAGCTACACATTTCTTTGACTTGAAAAGATTTGTTGTATTATTATTTTTCTCTAGGCAGTAAAAGATGAGGCGGATGTTTGCCAACCATCTTCCATGGATGTCTGTAGCCCTGGAGGGGTGGCGAAAATTCTCATCAAAGATACAAGTAAACCCAATTCAAAAGACCTAAACTGCAACCCCAATGATTTTACTCCTAAACCTGACATGGCTGTGACCCTTTAAACAATTGTTCTGTCTCTTATAACTCAATTTACTTCCATTAAACTGTAACCAATGTGTCTTGCTTTATGTCCTCGGCGCCCACGCTACTTCAGCCTTTTCCTTCGGCGGTACGAAAAGAAATATAAACAGACAGATGAAAGAGGCTCTCTTCATGAAAAAGGTTCGGCAGGCTATCGAGGAGGAGCAATACAAGTATATGAAATGGTAGGTAAAACTCAAAAATTGGATGTCATCTTAAATGCTCAGTTTCGATTTGCTGGGTTTGTGAGGTCTTAATAAACTTCAACAGAACTAAGATGGTGTGAAAGGGTTTCAGAAATCTCTACATTTGTGCATTTCTCCACACTTTTGTTTGTATTTTTACCTTCATATGTGGTCATTTCCTCTGTGTTGCACTCAGCCACGTTTATCTAGGTGTGGAGCCGGTGTCTGAGAAAAGGCAGCGGTGGATACTGGAGGAGAGAGAAAAGGCTCTGCAGGAATACATGGTGAGTTTCAGCACTAACTGAGGGAACAAACCCTGTAAATGATGGGTGAGAAAGTACACTAATTATTTATAGCATTCAACTTTTTTACATTTTGTCACATCATTACCTCTTAATAATTTGAAATTATTAAGAGGAATTTTATGTGAGAGACCTGTGTATCATTGTAGAAGAAGATAGAAGTAAAATGATACATAGAGTTGAAAATCGTCTGAAAACAACAACTTTTTATTAAATTAGTTCTGAACTTTAACTAGGGCATTTTTGTCACATAATATCTGGATGTTTAGGGTCTTTGTCTCAATGTGACAGCAACAACTTGATTTGCTCTTGGTCTTCTTAGAAAGCCGAAGGAAAAGAATTCATATTTTTTAATATTTTTACCAAAAAAATAATAAATAAATAAAAAATACAAAAATAAAATTTGAAAAGTGTGACACACATTGTTTCTGTTACAGAAAACAATGCATGTTTGCAATCACAATTGACTTCCAGTCAGTTGGGTATATTTAGTGGCATCAACTAATACCAATAAGTTTGACATATTAATGATCTTGGGTTAAAATTTCAAAGATATTAAATTCATTTTGTTTCTGTTATGTGTAAATGACTATTTTTCAGATTTGTTGACATTTAATAATTTCTTGCCTCCCATTAAAAGTCCATTTAATCTTAATGTTTTGAATGTTTTTCCCTGTTGAATACACTCTTTATCATTATGAAAACTGCTTCTGCTTTTAAGTGATTGATTTCATTTAGCAACCATAGAAACAAGGCAAGGTCGGCCAGAGAAAGTTCAGTTTTGAAATAGGACTTTGTGTACAGTTGAAGCTTAACAGCCCTTCCTTTCTCATCTCGTCGCTGATGCTGTAATCCACACACGCACAGGGAGTGTTGTCTGTTTTACAGCCTCATATCACAGGACGTTACTTCTATATTTTATGGGAACGCTTGTTTTTATGGGAGGAATGAAATGCTGATTAAAAGGCCAGAACACAAATATTTATGCAGACTTACAGTTTTGTAATCTTCCAAGAAGAGTTTTACCACCTGGGAATATTAAATCACTAAATTAGGCTGCCTTATTTCCTGTGACAAGGGGAACATTTCCCCTTCAGCCAAAAGATTTTACACTTGATGTAGCGGAGAAACATGTTGAAATCCTTTCTTATAAGTGCTTTTGCAATAACAAAATGCTGAAATGTGTAAAAAAACAGAACCATCTGCTTCATTTGCTATATGCTAAAATTCACTGTTTTATTTAAACAATTCCTTTTAAAAATGAGAGAGAATCAGATGATGTGTGTGGAAAAGAGGAAGTAATTTGTAGTTTATTACGCTTTAGTTGTGATTTTATTGAAGGAATGCTAATAGTAATCATGTGCTGATTGTGTTAAAGGTCCAAAAAAGAGATGAGAAGCAAGATGAAGACTTCGCTCCCAGGCAGACCCAACTTTCGTCTAAACGAATGCTTCGCGATGAGGTCATCCTTTAGCTTCAGTTGCTAATTTCACAGTTTAACAGTTTATTTTGTTAAAATTAAACATTTCAAAGTGAAACAAGCAAATCTGCTGGTGGGGGAATAACCTGCTTGTTTATAAGGATGCACCAATCCACTTTTTTCACTGCCGATTCCGATTCGATGCTGAAAACATCACTGAATTGACTTAAAACATTTCTTTTCTTAAACACAGACATAAATGTACTGAATAATGCATTTATTTGATAACTGCACCAGTACAGCACACTTAAATACGCCAAAAACTTTACAAAGTGGCTCAAACAATTAAAAAATAAACGGAGATAAACCTTTGAAATGGTTCAGAAATTAGGAATTCTAAATATAATGTGAAATAAATAAATAAAGCAAACAAAGCACAGAATTAGACTGATTGGTGCATCTCTATTTGTCCATTCCATTATATTCATATTTTTTCACTGTGACCAATCAGACTGAGTCCTTTAGCTGTTCTTCTAGTAAAGTTTTCCCAATCCTTTCCAGTATCAACACGAAGCTCCGGTCTTCCAGTCGTACACCAGCATTTACTGGGACCTGAAGCAGAGAACCCTCACACTTTTCCAGCAGGCAGCTCGGAAGGTACATGTGCAATTATCAGGAGTGGACTGTGTGGTATTGTTAGTGGATAATATCTCTTTATGACAGGACAAAGAGAAAAAAAGTGGGTTTAAATGTGCACACTTGAATGAACGAGCACGTCATTTTCTCTGTGTGCCTCATTAGAGGGTGAGCCCCCCTGCAGCTCTGTCACTTTCAGCTCAGTCAGGTGGAAATTTCTAATTGTCTTTAGGTTCAGTCAGGATCCATTAGTGTTCGTATTTACTTTAATTACTGTAGCATATAAGCACACCTCTTTACGTGGCGTCTAAAATAAAAGATAAACGAAAGGAAAACTACATGAAAGTAAGATAATTCATTGCTGTTAGCGAGCCACTTTTTAATTTCCCGTTAGTTTGCATTAGTTTGCAGAATGAAACTGAAACGAGTCCGCCGGACCTCATTAGGAGCTCGTTATGGAAAAAGGAAGGAAGCTAAAAGTCTGAATGTCAGAAAATAATTTAAGACTCAGCATGAAGTTTGAAGTTGTGGAGAATCGGTAACAGGCTCTCGTCTGCCATCCAGGTGGTGATCCGATACCGCATGCAGCGCAGACTGGCCTCTTTAAAGAAACTGGTGGACAGCATAAAGAATGATCCTTCAGTGCTGAATGGTTTGAATCATTTGTGCTACGAGGAAAAAAAACCTCAGGATGACATGCTGCATCTAAAGCTAATCTTTGTGTTTTTTAGCAAAGGAGATTGTCATATCTCTCGACAACGTGTTGCCGTCATCTTTCCCAAATTCCCCCCATGAGGACAGTTCCACGGTGAGAACGTCTTTTAACTCTACATAATGTAACATGCTTTTCTTTTTTTCCAATACATTTTCAATTAAACAGTTTGACATGAAGAAATGAGGCAATTTTCATCCATTACTTCCTGTGGGAAACGTAATTGATCTAACAATGGAATCAGCGAGGAAGCTCGGTTGCTGGTGCTTTGATTAAATCTTAGATTCAGACGCCCTGCAGAGTTCTGGACCTCAGAGTTGAGCTGAATAAAAATGTCCATTTGTCTTCTTGATATTTCAAGGCTCTCAGGAATTTTGTGGCTGTGCCTGTGGATCCTATCGATGTGACCATGACGGCACACATTCCTTTCTTCAACCTCCAGGTCAGTACCTGTTAAAACACCTGGCGCTCATATATCACTGGATATGTAACCTGCAGCGTGTTGGATTCTAATTCAATAATAGAAAGGGTCTGGAATGGTTTCCAGGTCGAGATTAGGAGAAAAATGTAAGCGAAGGAAAAATATTATAATTAGGCCCGAGCAGCTAAGCGCTGCGAAGGCCTATTGTTTTCCTATTGTTTATTAGGCCCGAGCAGCTAAGCGCTGCGAAGGCCTATTGTTTTCCTATTGTTTCTTATTATTATTATTATCTCCCTCCAAATGAATTGGCTTTTTGGGGGCTTTATCATATTCAAAAACTCACCAAACTTGGCGGAGGGCTTAAGCCTGTTTCAAATTTACGTATTTTAAAGTCGTCGCAAAAATCCCACAAGAAATGGCTCAATAGCGCCACCTAGAAATTTTCAAAGGACCCTTTGCTATTCACTTACTTTATCCTAGAGACATGAAATTTGGTACACTTGTAGAGCTCCCCAAGATACTCAAAATTTACAATTAATGTCATAGTGCAAGTATCACAGGAAGTCGGCCATTTTGGATTGAAGGTCCAATTTTGAGGCCATTTTTGCCGTTTACAGCCTCCGTATTTCATCGAACTCCTCCTAGGGATTTCCATTGACCGGCTTCAAACTCGGTCAGTCTGTTCATAAGGCATGTCCCATCTAAAGTTATCAAAACGGTGAGTTTTTGAGTATGCTGAAGGGGGGTTAGCAGGGGTCAAAGTTCACCTACTCGCCGTAAAAAAATAAACTGCTATATCTCCTACACAGAAACTCACAGAGGCACCAAAGTTACTGTGATTGATCATCATCGGCTGCCCTACAATAAACTATGGTCGAATGATGACATCACTTAGGCCACGCCCCCTGAGAACAGGAAGTGTAATGTTTTACTGTGAACGGTCGCTCTCTGACCCCTTTGACCTCATCAACATGAAACTGTGCCAAGACACAGAAAACATGTTGGTGTATTGAGGATTCCAACCCCGACCAGCTTCGATGGAGCAGATGGGCGTGGCGGCGTGGCGAAGTGACCTGTAACGCCATCGCCATACGTTTGGCTCTCAATTCCACATTTTTAGGCCCAGCTGCTCCAATTTCACAAAGATGGATCCTCATCCACTCCCCGACAGGAATCCATCACAATATTTGGTGGGCGTGGCCTAATTTCTCTATAGCGCCCCCTAGAAAACTTTAAATGATCAGCCCCAAGCCATGCTTTAACCTACAATTACGAAACTTTGTACACGTGTGTACCTTGTCAGGACTTACAAAAAAGTCTCTTGGAGCCATGGTCTAAACCCCACAGGAAGTCGGCCATTTTGGATTGAAGTTCGGATTTTGACCCATTTTTGCAGTTTGCAGCCTTCGTATTTGATCGAACTCCTCCTAGGGATTTCGATTGATCGGCTTCAAACTCAGTCAGTCTGTTCATAAAGCATGTCCCATCTAAAGTTATCAAAACGGTGAGTTTTTGAGTATGCTGAAGGGGGGTTGGCAGGGGTCAAAGTTCACCAACTCCCATAAAAAATAAACTGCTATATCTCCTACACAGAAACTCACAGAGGCACCAAAGTTACTGTGATTGATCATCATCGGCTGCCCTACAATACCCTATGGTCGAATGATGACATCACTTAGGCCACGCCCCCTGAGAACAGGAAGTGTAATGTTTTACTGTGAACGGTCGCTATCTGACCCCTTTGACCTCATCAACATGAAACTGTGACCAGACACCGAAGACATGTTGGTGTATTGAGGATTTCAACCCCGACCAGCTACGATGGAGCAGGTGGGCGTGGCGGCGTGGCGAAGTGACCTGTAACGCCATCGCCATACGTTTGGCTCTCAATTCCACATTTTTGGGCCCAGCTGCTCCAAACTCACAAGGATGGATTCCCATCAACTCCCCGACAGGAATCCATCACAATATTTGGTGGGCGTGGCCTAATTTCTCTATAGCGCCCCCTAGAAAACTTTAAATGATCAGCCCCAAGCCATGCTTTAACCTACAATTACGAAACTTTGTACACGTGTGTACCTTGTCAGGACTTACAAAAAAGTCTCTTGGAGCCATGGTCTAAACCCCACAGGAAGTCGGCCATTTTGGATTGAAGTTCGGATTTTGACCCCATTTTTGCAGTTTGCAGCCTTCGTATTTGATCGAACTCCTCTCAGGGATTTCGATTGATCGGCTTCAAACTCGGTCAGTCTGTTCATAAGGCATGTCCATCTAAAGTTATCAAAACGGTGACTTTTTCAGTATGCTGAAGGGGGGTTGGCAGGGGTCAAAGTTCACCTACTCCCCATAAAAAATAAACTGCTATATCTCCTACACAGAAACTCACAAAGGCACCAAAGTTTCAGTGATTGATCATCATCGGGTGTCCTACAATACCTTATGGTCGAATGATGACATCACTTAGGCCACGCCCCCTGAGAACAGGAAGTGTCATGTTTTACTGTGAACGGTCGCTATCTGAACCTTTTGACCTCATCAACATGAAACTGTGACCAGACACCGAAGACATGTTGGTGTATTGAGGATTTCAACCCCGACCAGCTTCGATGGAGCAGCTGGGCGTGGCGCCGTGGCGAAGTGACCTGTAACGCCATCGCCATACGTTTGGCTCTCAATTCCACATTTTTGGGCCCAGCTGCTCCAAACTCACAAGGATGGATCTTCATCCTCTCCCCGACAGAAATCCATCACAATATTTGTAGGGTGTGGCCTAATTTCTCTATAGCGCCCCCTAGAAAATTTTAAATGATCAGCCCCAAGCCATGCTTTAACCTACAATTACGAAACTTTGTACACGTGTGTACCATGTCAAGACTTACAAGAAAGTCTCTTGGAGCCATGGTCTAAACCCCAGAGGAAGTCGGCCATTTTAGATTGAAGTTCAGACTCCACTGCGGGTCCTACATTAATCTGCCAGCTATATTTCCTCGCTAAACCAATGAATCTGCACCACATTTTTTGCATCGTCAAGGAGCGCCTCCGAACGCATCAGTGCGTACCGCCTGGTGGACGGGCGCGGAAACTGCGCAACAACTTCTGTGTTAGCACGTGGCCAGCGTTGATGGAAACTGAGCAACAGCTTCCGCGGTGCGGGCGGAGGAGCTGAAAACTACGTGAGAGCTTCTGTGGTTGCTGACGTGAGGCGACGGTTGCTAGTACCCCGCGGTGGCAATAGGCCGGAGCGGCGCTTGGCTGCGAGGGCCGTTCGAGGCTGCTTGCAGCTTTAATTATTAGGCCCGAGCAGCTAAGCGCTGCGAAGGCCTATTGTTTTCCTATTGTTTCTTATTATTATTATTATTATTATTATTATTATTATTCTCCCTCCAAATGAATTGGCTTTTTGGGGGCTTTATCATATTCAAAAACTCACCAAACTTGGCGGAGGGCAAAAGCCTGGTTCAAATTTACGTATTTTAAAGTCGTCGCAAACATCCCACAAGAAATGGCTCAATAGCGCCACCTAGAAATTTTCAAATGACCCTTTGCTATTCACTTACTTTATCCTAGAGACATGAAATTTGGTACACTTGTAGAGCTCCCCAAGATACTCAAAATTTACAATTAATGTCATAGTGCAAGTATCACAGGAAGTCGGCCATTTTGCATTGAATGTCCAATTTGGAGCCCATTTTTGCCGTTTACAGCCTTCATATTTGATCGAACTCCTCCTAGGGATTTCCATTGACCGGCTTCAAACTCGGTCAGTCTGTTCATAAGGCATGTCCCATCTAAAGTTATCAAAACGGTGAGTTTTGAGTATGCTGAAGGGGGGTTAGCAGGGGTCAAAGTTCACCTACTCGCCGTAAAAAAATAAACTGCTATATCTCCTACACAGAAACTCACAGAGGCACCAAAGTTACTGTGATTGATCATCATCGGCTGCCCTACAATACCCTATGGTCGAATGATGACATCACTTAGGCCACGCCCCCTGAGAACAGGAAGTGTAATGTTTTACTGTGAACGGTCGCTATCTGACCCCTTTGACCTCATCAACATGAAACTGTGCCAAGACACAGAAAACATGTTGGTGTATTGAGGATTCCAACCCCGACCAGCTTCGATGGAGCAGATGGGCGTGGCGGCGTGGCGAAGTGACCTGTAACGCCATAGCCATACGTTTGGCTCTCAATTCCACATTTTTGGGCCCAGCTGCTCCAATTTCACAAAGATGGATCCTCATCCACTCACCGACAGGAATCCATCACAATATTTGGTGGGCGTGGCCTAATTTCTATATAGCGCCCCCTAGAAAACTTTAAATGATCAGCCCCAAGCCATGCTTTAACCTACAATTACGAAACTTTGTACACGTGTGTACCATGTCAGGACTTACAAAAAAGTCTCTTGGAGCCATGGTCTAAACCCCACAGGAAGTCGGCCATTTTAGATTGAAGTTCAGATTTTGACCCCATTTTTGGCGTTTATAAACCATTTCAGTAATTCGCCACTTGGGGTCAGTATTGCTCCACAAATGAAACAGCAGATAAACAGGATGAAGTACAATATCAATATTTTGCCAGTAGGTGTCAGTGTTCCTCCACCAATGACAAACAGATCCACGGGCGGATGGGCGTGAAAACTTTGTGAGAGCGTTGCCATGACATTTCTAAAAGGATAGAAATGTCTCATATAATTTTTTGTTGAATTAAATCATGCAGTAAATGTAGCGTTTTCTTACTTCTTACAAACCATTTCAGTAATTCGCCACTCTGAGTAAGTATTACTCCAACAATGAAATAGAGTGGATCATCCGACTGACGCCAAATTGGATACGTATGACCTTTGTTGACCTCTAAAGAGAAGAACAGCATTGAAATATATTTTGACTCCACTGCGCGTCCTACATTAATCCGCCAGCTATATTTCCTCGCTATACCAATGAATCTGCACCACATTTTTTGAATCGTCAAGGAGCGCCTCCGAACGCATCAGTGCGTACCGCCTGGTGGACGGGCGCGGAAACTGCGCAACAACTTCTGTGTTAGCACGTGGTCAGCGTTGATGGAAACTGAGCAACAGCTTCCGCGGTGCGGGCGGAGGAGCTGAAAACTGCGTGAGAGCTTCTGTGGTGGCTGGCGTGAGGCGACGGTTGCTAGTACCCCGCGGTGGCAATAGGCCGGAGCGGCGCTTGGCTGCGAGGGCCGTTCGAGGCTGCTTGCAGCTTTAATTATTATTATTATTTTTCTTCCCACCTCTTTGGGGGGCTTTTTGGGGGCCTTATCATATTGGAAAACTCACCAAACTTGGCGGAGGCCTTAAGCCTGTTTAAAAATTTTTATTTTTAAGGTCATCACAAAAATCCCACAAGAAATGGCTCAATAGCGCCACCTAGAAATTTTCAAAGGACCCTTTGCTATTCACTTACTTTATCCTAGAGACATGAAATTTGGTACACTTGTAGAGCTCCCCAGGACGCTCAAAATTTACAATTAATGTCATAGTGCAAGTATCACAGGAAGACAGCCATTTTGGATTGAAGGTCCAATTTTGAGGCCATTTTTGCCCTTTACAGCCTTCGTATTTGATCGAACTCCTCCTAGGGATTTCGATTGATCGGCTTCAAACTCGGTCAGTCTGTTCATAAGGCATGTCCCATCTAAAGTTATCAAAATGGTGAGTTTTTGAGTATGCTGAAGGGGGGTTAGCAGGGGTCAAAGTTCACCTACTCGCCGTAAAAAAATAAACTGCTATATCTCCTACACAGAAACTCACAGAGGCACCAAAGTTTCTATGATTGATCAACATTGGGTGTCCTACAATACCCTATGGTCGAATGATGACATCACTTTGGCCACGCCCCCTGAGAACAGGAAGTGTAATGTTTTACTGTGAACTTTCACTATCTGACCCCTTTGACCTCATCAACATGAAACTGTGCCCAGATACAGAAGACATGTTGGTGTGTTGAGGATTCCAACCCCGACCAGCTTCGATGGAGCAGGTGGGCGTGGCGGCGTGGCGAAGTGACCTGTAACGCCATCGCCATACGTTTTGCTCTCAATTCCACAGTTTCTGTTCCAGCTGCTCCAACCTCACAAGGATGGATCTTCATCCACTCCCCGACAGGAATCCATCACAATATTTGGTGGGCGTGGCCTAATTTCTCTATAGCGCCCCTAGAAAACTTTAAATGATCAGCCCCAAGCCATGCTTTAACCTACAATTACGAAACGTTGTACACATGTGTACCTTGTCAGGACTTACAAAAAAGTCTCTTGGAGCCATGGTCTAAACCCCACAGGAAGTCGGCCATTTTAGATTGAAGTTCAGATTTTGACCCCATTTTTGCCGTTTACAGCCTCCGTATTTGATCGAACTCCTCCTAGGGATTTCGATTGATCGGCTTCAAACTCGGTCAGTCTGTTCATAAGGCATGTCCCATCTAAAGTTATCAAAACGGTGAGTTTTTGAGAATGCTGAAGGAGGCTTAGCAGGGGTCAAAGTTCACCTACTCGCCATAAAAACATAAACTGCTGTATTTCCTACACAGAAACTCACAGAGGCACCAAAGTTACTGTGATTGATCATTATCGGGTGTCCTACAATACCGTATGGTCGAATGATGACATCACTTAGGCCACGCCCCCTGAGAAAAGGAAGTGTCATGTTTTACTCTGAACGGTCGCTATCTGACCCCTTTGACCTCATCAACATGAAACTGTGCCCAGACACAGAAGACATGTTGGTGTGTTGAGGATTCCAACCCCGACCAGCTTCGATGGAGCAGCTGGGCGTGGCGGCGTGACGAAGTGACCTGTAACGCCATCGCCATACGTTTGGCTCTCAATTCCACATTTTTGGGCGCAGCTGCTCCAAACTCACAAGGATGGATCTTCATCCACTCCCCGACAGGAATCCATCACAATATTTGTAGGGTGTGGCCTAATTTCTCTATAGCGCCCCCTAGAAAATTTTAAATGATCAGCCCCAAGCCATGCTTTAGCCTACAATTACGAAACTTTGTACACGTGTGTACCATGTCAGGACTTACAAAAAAGTCTCTTGGAGCCATGGTCTAAACTCCAGAGGAAGTCGGCCATTTTAGATTGAAGTTCAGATTTTGATCCTATTTTTGGTGTTTATAAACCATTTCAGTAATTCGCCACTTGGGGTCAGTATTGCTCCACAAATGAAACAGCAGATAAACAGGATGAAGAACAATATCAGTATTTCGCCAGTAGGTGTCAGTGTTCCCCACCAATGACAGATCCATGGGCGGATGGGCGCGAAAACTTTGTGAGAGCGTTGCCATGAAATTTCTAAAAGGATAGAAATGTCTCAGATAATTTTTGTTGAATTAAATCATGCAGTAAATGTAGCGTTTTCTTACTTCTTACAAACCATTTCAGTAATTCACCACTCTGAGTAAGTATTACTCCAACAATGAAATAGAGTGCTTTAGAAACACAGCTGAAAATGATGAAAAATGACGAACTGTAGTACTTCGCCATGTGCATATGATCGGCTGTAAATTACACGTGGATCTTCCGACTGACGCCAAATTGGATACGTATGACCTTTGTTGACCTCTAAAGAGAACAACAGCATTGAAATATATTTTGGTTCCACTGCGCGTCCTACATTAATCCGCCAGCTATATTTCCTCGCTAAACCAATGAATCTGCACCACATTTTTTGCATCGTCAAGGAGCGCCTCCAAACGCATCAGTGCGTACCGCCTGGTGGACGGGCGCGGAAACTGCGCAACAACTTCTGTGTTAGCACGTGGCCAGCGTTGATGGAAACTGAGCAACAGCTTCCGCGGTGCGGGCGCAGGAGCTGAAAACTGCGTGAGAGCTTCTGTGGTGGCTGACGTCAGGCGACGGTTGCTAGTACCCCGCGGTGGCAATAGGCCGGAGCGGCGCTTGGCTGCGAGGGCCGTTCGAGGCTGCTTGCAGCTTTAATTCCAAATTGTGTTCCTTTCCCCATATTTTTATAAATCCAAATTAAAAGCCTGACCAGAGAAGAAATATTACCTTATTTTTTTCCAACATTGATTGTAGAAAATACTGGAAAACTCCAGAAATGTGAAGTATGTGGAAGAACTCTGTCTGTTAATTTTTTACAGCAGCATTATATCGCAGCCCTTTTTTTTCAGCTGACATTTGCCAAAAGGCAATGAACACAGCGGTCAGGTTGTGAGTTCTTTACTGAGACAGACAGCCATATGCTCCCACACTCACATTATCTTAGCATCAGCAGCTAGCTTAACATTCATGCCTGTAGACAGGAGCACTGAGAAGGAAACCCAGAGCGTGTCTGCACCGTCTCCAGGTGGCCTTTATCAGCTTTTCACCTTTTCATCCCTCACAAAAATAATTTCTCTTCCCACGTTCGTATTTAATGACCCATTAATAATTGTCTGCGTCGCAAGGGAATATTGTCTGCTTCTATTTGAACTATTTTTACATCAATCCAGTCAGAGTTTGGAGATGTTTTCAGGAGGTAAAGCAGATGATAATTTAATTCACTTATTTATTTCATCATGAGAAAGTCTGACGATGAAGATTTGGACCCATTTTAGTCCTCTGTATGCAAAAGTATTCCAGAGTTAATTGTGAAGTCAGACCTTAAAATCAGCTGGAAACCTGCAATAAATTATTTTACATTTGTTTTATGTTACCTTTATCTCACCAGGCTGAGTTAACTGTGAACAAATTCTCATTTTTAATGTTCAGAAAACACTAAAACATCATACAGCAGAAAACAGAAGCATATTATAAAACCACATTCATACTGACTAAACATGCAAAATGGCTGCTTTGTTTTGCACACAGGAAAAGCAGCATAAAGGACCATGTAGAAGTATATTGTTTCTGCAGGTGTGAATAATATGAGAAAGTGATGTGATGTGTTGAATGACTGTGCATCTAGGAAGTGATATTAAAGAAAGCGGAGTTCATGTGGAGCTCTTGAAATAACAGATGGCAGGAGGTTCTGAAAGCAACATGCAGCCAGAATGATTTACTGTGCTTCTCATCTATAAAATGATTGCCTTTGAGTAAATATAAAGGGTGGTTTTTTTGAGGCAACGTGAAGGTAAAAAATGCATTCACTTCCTCTAAGAGTCAGGTAATCTAACTATGCTAACATTGATGCTGTCCAGGTTCCCCAGCACTACCAGCTGATGGGTTACCAATTCACTTGTGCCTGGGAAGCGTTTAGCTCCTATTGTCCCACTACACTGGCCAGACCTCTTCGTGCTGGAGCGCCGGTAACTATGACGCACCTTAATTAAAATGTATGTCAGACTCAATATGTGTGTCAGTCTGTCTGTCATATTTATCTCCATTTTAGGAAGTGCAGGGTCCAGTCGAACAACAGCTAGATAGAGAGCTGCTGAAATACGGAGACAGAATGATGGATCGGGAGACTGCTGGACTCTCCTTCAAGCTTCCTGCAGCTCTCATCAAGCCTTTCAACGCAAATCCTCTCCGAATCTTTGTATGGATGGGATTTGTGTAACTTCACATCCATTCATACAGGAAGCATATCTGGCTGATTATTTACATTGACATTTTGTTTTAGAACCCGGCCCCGGGCCTTCAGGCTTTTAAACTGCAGCCCAAGTACTTGGAGAGCGACGTGGAGGTTCACCTCTGTGCTCTGCCGAAGTAAACACAACCTCGCAAACTTACATTGTCCTTTTCATTTTTCGTAAAGCTTTTTACATTCAATCGTTGCTGTTTGTGTAGGTTTGCACAGTGTGAAAACAGATCTGGCTTAAAGCCACCAACTCCACTGGCCCACTTTCTCCATTTCCAGGTAATTGTCTTTATTTTTTTCTCAGATTACAGCAATATAATACATTTTATTGGAATTTTATGTGATAGAAGAACACAAATTAGCAATTGTGTTTCACTTTATGGCTTTTTGGTATTTTTCTGTGGAGCTAATCTCTATTTTCAACTAATCTGAATAGGAAAATTGTTCAGTTAATTTTTTTTTCCTTTCCTACCAACAGAAAACAACCGGCATGAACATAAAACAGATCTCCGCCCCAGTCACCAATATGAGCTCTCGTCGTAGGTATGTGCTGAGTGTTGTCATTTTAACCAGAAGACTTTAAATTGTTAGTTATTGTATAAAAAGCTGGAGAATGCTGGGTAATCTCAGCATCAACTTATTCTGGTTCTGCCTCGTCTGGTTCTGACTTTAAACCAAGTACCAACAACTGAAGGGAGCCATAACAAAAAGTAAACAAATATTGCATATTTCTCACATGAAAAATCAAGCCTGCACTTGAAGTCCTACATTTTCTGTTTACGCAACACAAGCTTCCCGCTTTTAGAGGAATTCCTCTGTTTACACGAGCATAATATAGAGATATTTTCATAGCTAATAGCATCTTAACGATTGTTGAAGTGAGATGTCTTACATGTCGTGTTTCAGACATGTTTTAACACTCATGTTTATGCCGCTGGAGAGGCTGTAACCCTCTACATCCTTCTTCGTAGTCCCAGCTTCGGTGTTCATTCCATCACCTGGCAAACTGCATTACAGACAACACAGCTCATCACGGTTGTCTCGTATTAATATGTAATGGAGGAGTCCAACATATTCTACCTCCTGCCAGGTCGCTGAATGTCAGATTGTCCGCTTGCAATATATCCACCATTACTCATAGCACATTCATAGAGTCAGAGAGTGAAAGGTAGGACAGCCTTATGCCCTAGAAGTTGAATCTCAACTTTCAGGCATGTTATTTAAAGTCTATAAATGATCATCTCAATGGAAGGAGAGATGAAATCATTCCTCTTTTTGTAGTGCTGTTGTTCATCTTAAGCTCAAGTGTCTCTGTTAAAGAATCTGGGTCAGTCTGTATGGAGGCTAACATGGAGACATAATGATTTATTCAGTTTTCAGCCTAAAAAGACGAAAAGGAAGTGATATTTGATGTAGTGTGTTAGAAAACACGCCTCTGGTTTGTCCTGTTCTCCTTTTGCACGCTATTCTGTGGAAACACTTTCTTCATCTGACTGTTCTCCACACAGCAACAGCGTGTGATTTACAGTTCATCCAGCATGATGGAGCCTCTTGCTTTAGGTTGAAGAGTTCAGTGCTGATTAGGAAAAAAAGAAGGTTCTGGATGTTGTTAACTTGCACATCCATTCTGAAAAAAGTCTTAAATCCATGTCACTAAAATTACAATTTTCTTTTGTGCATTTGTCTCCTTAGAGGTCTTAAATTTAATTTTTAATGGTCTTAAAAAGTTTTGAAATTTGAGTGAGTGAAACCTGCAGAAACCCTGTTCTTTGTGTTGCATAGACTCCAGACAAAACAGCAAATCCTACAGCTTTTGTACAGAGAGAGATTTTAGACATCCATTTTCTTAGGATTATTTTCTACTTCCATGTTTCTCCTGCAGGTCCATCGACTATGACACAGACATCCTTCCTCTCTCTGCTCCTCCTCTTCTCCCTGGCCTCCCCGATGATTATCATCTGCAACTAACAGAGTCCTCGTAAGCCCCTCACATCAATGTTTACACACCACACCGCCTCCAGGTAAACCTCCCCTCCACCCATGATGTCATTCATGTGAGACTGTGGTGCAGGTGTGAAGATCAGGAAATCCAGCTGACGCCAGAGATGATCAGAGCAGAGTTCTCATTGAGGAAACCTACCGTCTCGAAAAGCAACCTCACCATGGAGACAATACCCAGGTCAGTTCAAAGTTGGATTCGTTCCAGCAGGGTCGACAAACTCACATACAGAAGGAAACACTTTTTTCAAGGCAATAAAAACAGTTGAAATAAAAAAAAGAAAAACATGTTTGGTTTTAGGAGGGGAAGCATTCTGCATAAACAAAGCATAAAGTTAACGAATGAGCACATGATGTAGCTGGACTTTCTTTCGACAAGTGCTTCCTGGCAGCTGCATCTCATTGGATGAAATGCAGAGGTCTTTAGCTGCTGTCTAAACAGTGAAGCAGACCTTTTCTTTGAATTTCATCCTGTGGCGAATCCGCTCTGCCTCTGTCTTCCTCTGACATCTTGTTCATAGGTTCATGTTGTTAAATGTCCGTCTCAATCTTATCAAATAGGAAACATTGTTCATCTTTGGAACGTCTGAGATTGAAATGATAGATGTGATAAAACATTTTTATTTTCAATTTGAAATTGCAGCTGAGGAAAAAAAGGTCGTCTTTGTAGAAACGTGGGATGTTTACTGTTTTGAAGTGTTTTGAGCTACCTCTCCTTCCCTAATATTGACGTGAAGCTGCTCCGTTACAGGCTGGAGGTGATCTACACATCTGACATCTACCAGACGCAAACAAGACTGATGGCCAGGCTGGAAGACCTCAAAGAAGAGGAGTTTGAATAGGCAAAAAGGCGCTGCACACACACACACACAAGCACACACACACATCATCTTCAGGAATAAACACTACTGCTTTCCTCCGGAGGAACATTATTCAGCAGCCATCCTACTCAGCCTCGTGAAAGACACTCATTTGTCTGTTTTTGCCACTTCTGTAAAATGAAACCCAGTTACTTTGGCGCCCACCTGTAAGGCTTCTTCCTGCCCACTCAGAATTGCCCATAAGCCACCCTTCTGAGCTCTCAGAAAGGCTAGATCCAGCCTACTTGATCCAGCAAAGGCACAGACGCAGAATGTTCCAACATCAGCTCTTAACAGCTTCATTTTGACAGAGCTATTTATGACGTAATCTGAATTAAAAAACGTTCACAATTTCTTTTGGTCTGACAGTGAGTAGCAATTGAGATTATTATTATTTTTTGCTGTATTTTTTGCGAAAATTCAGCTTTTAATTTGCCCTAAAGCCCCGTTGATTTGCAGCCATCCAGGGACCGGGTATTATTCCAACGTTAATTAGAGACATCAGTTCTACATTCACACTTATGCGACTGTAAGGGGAAAAAAAGGAAACAGCTGAGGTCAGGATTTAATTATCAGAAGAGCTGACAAGCTGTGAAGTCACTGGGATGCAGTCCAGCAGGGCGCATGTGCCACCTGTCGCCCATAGAGGGAGCTCCAGGTCTATGACTCAGATTTAGCTGCTTCTGTTTGCCTATCAGTGAATGTGTGTACACTCACTGTAAAGAAATAAAGTAACACTGAATTGCCTGTTTGTTCTCCCTTGTAGAGAAGCACACAAAGCCACAAAAAAGGTCACATTATTTAGACATGAGGTTGAATCCAACAGAAATGCAGAATCATGCAGCTGTGTGCTTCAGATTACATTAAGATGACAGTAGATTGTGTCACTTTAGATGCTTTTTTTGGATTCAAAGGAAAATATTTTATTTTCTTATTAACAAATATCACAAAATGTATTTTTGCTTCTTTACTGGCTGAAAACTAAAATACAGCAAGTAAGTTAAGCATGAATATTGGAAAAATATCCATACCACTTGAATCTGTTGGGTTTTTGTTGTTGTATTTTACAACATTTATTGTTGTGAAATAAATGTTACAACAATTTATTTTATTTTAAAATATCTGAAAAGTGTGGTGTGCAGTGAAATTTAGCTCCTATGAGTCGATGCTTTTTAGAACCACCTTTCTTTTGCAATTACTGTACTGATACCGTTCTTTTAGATAATGCTGTTACAGACAGATATAATCTGTGAACACAGATTAAACATAATAATTCAGATTAAAGCAGATTTCTTCTAAACTATTCCATTAAAGCTCGAGCAGGAGGTTTGTACTTATTGGAAGGTGAACTTCTGTCCCAATAAGGGTTTGCAGCCTCTAATAGGATTTCTCAAAGCATTGGCCTGTATTTCGTTCAATATATTTATTCATTCTTTTAATTTTTTTTTTTTTCAATCAGTGTTTTAATGTCTGGAGAGCATTAAAACGCTGCTCTCCAGTCAGAGGATATTGCTTATAAAGCAGCAATATCCTCTGATCATTTGCTGTGCTTTCTTTTTTCTTATCTAAATGACAAAGTACATACAATCCAATAACGGTAAGAGGAAAAAAAGATTCCCACCCATTTTTGAGCATTTTGATTGGTCTAGTCAGCGGGAACGTAAAAAGCGTTGTGAGGCTTTTTCAAACTCAAAGTAAGCAGCATATTGTAACTGATTCTTGTAAATATATGAAATTAATTGAGAACTGTCTGAACTTCTTCCAGGAAATGTATTCCTCCCTGGACACATTTTTAATTGACTCTAATGCTCCATTGTAGGACATTCTGACAAACCAAACAGATAATCACTGATTTGACTCCTATAAATTTCTTGTGCTTTTTCTCGTTTGTCACACTGATCTGTTGCTTGTGTCTGCTGTGTTTTTTAGCATTTATTATCTCATTGTTGTCCCACTCTCTAATGCCCCATTGATACGTGTTGCACCAGGTGCTGGTTTCATCCTGAATGCTAATGCATGCAGCACCTTTTAGATTTTTGCTCAGAATCTCCTTCTGCTGCTGCATCTTCACTTCATCGATCACTGTTGGGATCCCCGGGTATAAATCATCGATAAATCTCTTCTGCTACCTGCTGTCTCTTGATCGTCCTTCCTCAATCCAAAAAGCTGTTTTTGTCTCATTTTGCTAAACTATTGTCCGACACTTCTCTATTCACATCAGCCAAATAAAGGTTGAATTGTGTTTGGTTCAACTCTGAGCGAAGTCTAATGCTGAAAGACTTTAGGAAGCTAAATCGATTTAATCTCAGACATAATTCTTTAGCTCTCAAGGCTGTTTGAATGTACTGATAAGATTAAAAGTCCTTTAAAGATTCCTTTACGTAACTCTGAGATGAAATTACTTTATTCACGTCTGTGCTTTCAGCTGAAGCTGAGACTTAAAACATAATGCTCACCAGTCAGAAATAAAACATAAAAAAGCTTGTTGATATCACATCAACTCTTCCTCATTCATAACAATAATCTTCCCTATGAAAGCCATGAAATCTTCACTGACTGGCTCCTGTGTACATGAAGTTTTTTTGCTTCTTTGTCTTTGTTGGCGGCGATTTTCAAAGGCCTTGAACCGTTAAGCAAGCAAAATGACTGAAAGGGACTTTAACTTACTGGAAGTTCAGTACATTTAAATCAACACTTGATGTAAGAAAACTGGCTTTATAATCCTGTAGTGAATAAAAATCTTGTAATATTTCAACTTATTAGAATAACATATTATTTTAGGGGTTTTTGAATTTATTTGGACTCTTCTTTGAAGAACTTTCCTGGCAATTTCAACAATTTTTAACAAAATTTGGACGTACAAGTTGAAATTGAGTCCGCATTTAAATTGTACTTTCTTAAATACATTAACCTGAATCTTCTGTTGAACCTTTTTGGTGTTGAGATTTCTGACTACAGCTGGCCATTCCTGTTTGTCAAGAAGAATAAAGAGGGTTTGGTATGAATTATGTTTAGAGGATTCAAGATGATGCTTTCAAACTTAAGAACACTGTGCTAGCAAATGAAGCATGGTGGTGGGCGCATCATGCTGTGCATCTGGTTTCCTTTTAGTGCCTTGGATAGAGGATGGAATAATATAGAAAGAAAACAAATTCACTTGTAGTTAGCTGCTAACTTATTAAAAATGGCAAACTTATACAAAAATTGGTGTTTCCTGCATTTTCTCTGGGTCATATGTCCAAACGTTTCATGTTGCTTTTCCATTAAATGCATTGTATCCAGTGCATTTGCTTAAATAAACCGTTCAGACTGTAAGAAAGTGACAGCCATCTCAAGCTTCAGCCCATTTGAGACAAACTGTTAGGTGTTAAAACTCCTTACTGTTTTTCTGAATGACTCTCTTGTCTCTGATAACAGATTAAGAACCAGAATAAGAAAATTTTGACTTTGAAAGATAGTGTGGCATCGGTTTAACAAGTTTCCTCTTCCGCTCTGGCACATTTTGTCTGTGTCGTGTGAAAAGCTGTTTTTATTTCAAAATGTCAAACTTCTTATAGCGCTTTTTCTCCGTTCGCTGTGAAAATTGTTAAGTTGCTTCTGAGTGACTCTTTGCAAAGGCCTGTGTTTTCTTTCATTCACTTGGGGGGAAAAGCAAACATGAGGTTGAGTGTTGCCAATAATTACCTTCGCTTTAAATGTCAGTCATTTATTTATTTCTTGATTATTTTATTCTACAATCACGGACTTTACTGCTGCATACCTTCTCAGATGCAGTAATTGACATTAATTACCATTAGCATTTGCAGTGTTTTGTGCTTCTCCAGTTCTGTCTTGATTAGAGCACATTCTTCACCATAACAATAGAAAAATTTCACTTTATAACCTTCACTCCCACTCTCCTGGTTTCTGTGCTGAATGTCGGTGTACTGCAAACCCGTTCATGTAGCTGGAAGCAATAGAAAATCCCTGGAATCCTCTCTGAGAGGGGCTTTGCTGAGCTTGTGATGGATTCAATCTGCTGCCTTAAAAAATGACAGCTGGTATCAGAAGGTAAAAAAAACCCCAGCTTGGAGCTTTTTAGAAATATTGCAGCATTGATGTTGTGGAATATAGGCTGAAAACAGATATTTACATGCACTGGAGAAAAAGATGTAGTTTGACAGTAGATCAGACTAAACGCTTTGTGTTCAAATGCCAGAAGATTAAGAGCTTAGATTAATATTCCTAGAACTTGGGAAAACCCAGATAATTATGTCATGGCTTCTGATTCACAACTTTTGAGATAATCACAGACAAGTATGTGCATGCATTTATAGTCCTATCTCACAGAATCGTGGATCTACATTAGATACAGTTTCCATATTTTTAAGAGGTTGCATTAATCTGTATAAGAAATTATATGAAAGAAAATATGATGGAAATATTCAACAATCCAGGGATTTATTTGATGTGAGACATTTAAATCAACAAAAGCAAAAGATGAGTGAAACATGTTTTAATGGACTGAAGGAGCGCTCAGAGAGGAAGAAGCTCTAAAAGCAGCATACAAAGTTAGATTATGGCTTACCAAAGAAATATGTTTCCATGAATGATAGAAACAGATATTTAAATGCTGGTCAAAATGACATTTGATACATTTGGAGGTAAAATGGAAAGATTGAAAACCTGAGAAGAGCATTTCAACTAAAAATATGGCTAATTATTCTACCAAATAATGAACATTTTCTCAATAGTTCTTCTACCATTTATTAAATATAAATGATTTTGTTAATCTCAACTATTCAGAAACAAGAAATTTGTGATTTAATGTCAGGCAGTAAAAATGGGAGTTTTGATTGTTGATGAAGCATCTCAATTTGAGAAATTTGCCCTTTAAGCTCAGTTTGTTCTTCACCAAGACAGAACAAAGCAGTGTCTTCACTACTGCAGAAGAAACCCAAATCTGTCCGTCCGTCTTATGAAAAAGACAACAAAATACCTAAAACTGCTCTGCCCTGATTGGAGGAACAGAGTCTTGGGCCCCTTTCCTATAAAAAATAAAAAGAAGAAAATACCCATTGCGCTCTCTCAGTGGATCTAATTTCAGGAATGTCAGAGCAGAAATATGACTCAAATCGACATCTTGGCCCATCCAGGAATCTAAATCTGGTACGCCTCACTATTTGATAGCCTGCAATATGGCTTTCTACATGAAGAGCCATGCGTTTATTCCACCTTTTTGAGGGGTGTGCAGTGTAGCATTAAATAGGCCACCGACACAAACGGGGGGCTGCATGAATCCCCCTGATATCTCCACAAACCAAAATACAAATGTTTATTTTTTGGTGGGCGTGGAGGAAACAAATGGCAAATCAAATCCATCCTTTTTCTCTTTGTCCGGACAAGTCGGTAGGCTTTTCCTCGGATTTGGTATTTATGGATGAAAAAAAAGTGGAGGGTTTCAAAAGCAGCAGATTTCAAGACTGTAACACTGGATGTCATGGTTCGACAGTGATTCTCAGGGTATATTTCAGTGCAGCTTCAACATCTGAGCTCTTATTATATTTTTTTCTCATAGATAAAGATAAGAAAATATTCAATAAACCATCTGCAGCTGCTGATCTTCACCAAAATGGCATTTTAAGCCCCAATTTATGCTTTTTGTATACTGGAGCTGGACAACACGCTGCTGCTTCTGAGCTCATCTGGGACTTTACCTTTTTAGAGTTTAATACATAACTGCAAAACATGGAGCCTAGTCGGAGTATGGCGAACATTTGAAAGTTAAATGG